CATGAGCTGTCTTGGATTATTAACGGCATCACACCACATGGCATGAACTGTCTTGGATTATTAACGACATCACACCACATGGCATGAACTGTCTTGGATTATTAGCGGCATCACACCACATGGCATGATCTGTCTTGGATTATTAGCGGCATCACACCACATGGCATGAACTGTCTTGGATAAAAAACGGCATCACACCACATGGCATGAACTGTCTTGGATTATTAGCGGCATCACACCACATGGCATGAACTGTCTTGGATTAATAACGGCATCACACCACATGGCATGAGCTGTCTTGGATTATTAACGGCATCACACCACATGGCATGAACTGTCTTGGATTAATAACGGCATCACACCACATGGCATGAGCTGTCTTGGATTATTAACGGCATCACACCACATGGCATGAACTGTCTTGGATTATTAGCGGCTTCACACCACATGGCATGAACTGTCTCGGATTATTAACGGCATCACACCACATGGCATGAACGGTCTTGGATTATTAACGTCATGTCATTGTAGGGGTTTGGGTGTGTAGGTATTGGGGCTGGTATTGGGATTTTATCGAAAAACAAAAAATGTCCCCGAAAATTCTTGAAAGAGCATTATGATAATTCAAATAAACAATGCAGATTGTTGAATAAAAGAAGAAATTGCCTGTCACGAAAATTACATTGTTGCAAAGTGTTTTTCTTAAAAAAATAATTCAGGCTCATACAAACAAACTGCCATGACATTGCACAGCATGACACAAGGCTTGTGATAGCATAGATTATATTGAGCTTGAGACCTCATGGCATGACATTGTATAGATCATAAACAACATAACACCTCATTGCATGACACTGCATAGTTTTAAAACAACATGACACCACATGACATGGCATTGCATAGATTATAAACAGCATGACACTAGATGACATGACATTGCATAGATTATAAACAACATGACACCTTATCACATGACATTGCATAGACTATAAACAGCATAAAGCATCAAATGACAGTGCATAGATTATAAACAGCATGACACCTCTTACGGAATGACATTGCATAGATTATAAAAATAAAAAATAAAAAATAAACATTGCAAAAGTACTTATTTTCAAAATCTCAAATGCGAGGCAGTTTATGGTCAGGTGTGAAAATTGACAATTATTCAATTAAACACACATTTATTAATTATTAATTTGAATAATTGGTCATAAGGCAACTTGAAGCAGAAACAAACTGGGGTGTTTTAGAATACTTTTCAGCTTTAAACACATTTCAGCTGTTTGGGTTTACCGGGGACAGCCGATTACAAATTATTATAAATGTAACTTGTTTCGAGTGGAACGACTAAAGTACGTTGACTAGAAGGGGTTGACTGCAGTGTATATCCATCAGCTGGGGTGCAAGTGTGTCCATGTGCAGCCACAGAAATACATGGTTTTAATCGTTTTAATCGGTAGCGGGTTCTGCCGGTAGAGCAGGACGTTTACATTTTCGCCAACACCTGGTGTCATGACAGAATTTCATTGATCCATTCATACACTTTACACTGCTATTTACGGGGGGCGGTCGGGTAGCCTAGTGGTTAAAGCGTTCGCTCGTCACGCCGAAGACCCGGGTTCGATTTCCGACATGGGTACAATGTGTGAAGCCCATTTCTGGTGTCCCCCGCCGTGATATTGCTGGAATATTGCTAAAAGCGGCGTAAAACCAAACTAACTCACTCACTCGCTGCTATTTTGCGTTTTGAAATCTGTTTTGGCGGCTAAGCGAGACTGGTTATTCTCTGCCGCTGAACTTTTATATTGACAAGACTAATCAGTGCTATACTTGAGTTCAGCATTTATATGTATAATACTTGTATAACGTTGTCATGGTTACTATACAGCGGGTCAACGTGACTGTTGATTGGCTGGCCGTGAATTCATGTCTTCAAAGTATTAACACAAACTGTCAACATCCACTTATACCGAAGCAAGACCAAACATTTATTCAAAAACACATTTTAAAGAAATGTGCCATCCTAGTAGGAGAGCCACACATCCCAAACCTGGCTTCAGGACAACACGTGTATATTCTAGTGTATGCTGAACGTTTTGGTCTGTTTGGTTAACATTGGAACCCAAAGAAATCCTGTCTGACGAAATTACGGGATTCTTTGACATTTTTGTTTGTTTGTTGTGCAACGCCGCACTCAGCAATATTCCAGCTATATGGCGGCGGTCTGTAAATAATCGAGTCTGGACCAGACAATCCAGTGATTAATATCATGAGCATCGATCCACGCAATTTGGATACAATGACATGCATGAACCACGTCAGCGAGCCTGACCACCCGATCCCGTTAGTAGCCTTTTACGACAGGCAAAGTCGCCTCGAATTTGGTAGATTTGTCAAGCAAGATTAAAATGCATGGTCACCTTTTACGACAAGCATGGGTTGCTGAAGACCTATTCTACCCCGGATCTTCACGGGTCAATCGTTAACAGCTGAAAATACACATCAATACGTAATTTATTTCATCTACTCCCGTATACAGTGAAATCCCCTTATTCCGGATCCCGGAAAACTGAGCACCCCGTTATACGGACGACGTGAAGGACGCCCATTCTAGCGGCATACCTACTCAATAACTGTTAATTGTAGGAAATTGCCAACTCGTAAGTGATTATGGGGTAAACAGTCTGCATCTTAACCCTCTGGATGCCGTGTTTTCTGACGCACATTTTCCTAAGATCGGAAAAGTGAAGGTTGTGCGAGAATCGCGCTCACGCGGCACTGGATCTACCTCTGGCTATAAAATTACGCAGAGGTGGAGAATATTAAATTTCCTATTTGATGGTGTAAAGGTAACTGCAAATATTAAACCGGTTTAAAAAAAAAGACACTTCTAAGTGTTATCCGAGAATTTATTCTGCGTTGAAAAACCGTAAATTTTTCCGCTTTTTATCGTACACCACTGGTCATTTCATTTTAAAATGTATGAGGAATTCAAGGATGTAGGTATCGCAGATAGGTTTGAAATAAACGTGATGTTACAGGCGTCTCATAACCGATGTACCTGAAACTTGATTTTGTAAACACTATCATATATGGCGGAAAGTTCACTTCGGCGATCGTGATTTCGTATTTACCAAAACATTCTAAACGATTCTAGGGTTATAGGAGACGTTTTGGAATGCTGATTGGTGATTTCATAAGAGACAGATACCGTGATCACTAATATGCTATTTTTGAAATTCATTTCTCCGAGTAGATATCCTAAATATAGATTTCTGGACATGCTGGAAACAAGCATGAAATACTCACATCTCCCGCCAGTATGACATGTCGGGGGTGTGCAATGCATTAGCTCCTGTGAACTATGTTCACTGGACCTTTTTGTAAATGGCCTAATTGCAGCGCTAAAAAAAAGTTATTACTGGTGTTGTTTTTCCATCTGCAGTTTATGATAGAATATTTAACTGAATTTGTAATGAGTAAGGATGAGACATATGGACGAACAACTTCTTTATTACAATTAGGAGCAATGGTTTCGGTGTAGGTTCTAACATCATTATCAAGCAAGTGAAGTACAGAGTATGGTTGACAAGAATATATATTGTTTATACAGTTGAGGAGGTTTAAGATCAGTTACACTGTTTTATTTGTAATGAGTTGTGTTTCTGTATGAAGTTAGTCAGTGAATGCAACAACTGTGTCCATGACACTTTTGGAGGAACATACACTCAAGCAATGCAGAACTTACCGACAAGAAAGGAAATGTATTCAATACTGCGAGATGACATTATGTGCCAAGTTTGATGAAGAAATATAGTACGGTTTTCAAGATCTGCTCCGGAAACGAGGACTACCGCCATTTTCAGTCTAAATCAAAGTCGTTGCCATGGAAACTTGAAAAATAACTTTTTTTAAAATCCCAAACTATCAAAAGGCACCAGTTCACCACTAGATCTATCTATGTGCCAAGTTTGGTGAAGAAATATGGTGCGGTTTTCAAGATCTGCTCCGGAAACAAGGACTACCGCCATTTTCAGTCTAAATCAAAGTCGTTGCCATGGAAACTCAAAAAATAACTTTTTTTAAATCCCAAACTATCAAAAGGCACCAATTCACCACTAGATCTATCTATGTGCCAAGTTTGGTGAAGAAATATGGTGCGGTTTTCAAGATCTGCTCCGGAAACGAGGTCTACCGCCATTTTCAGTCTAAATCAAAGTGGTTGCCATGGAAACTCAAAAAATAACTTTTTAAAAAATCCCAAACAATCAAAAGGCACCAGTTCACCACTAGATCTATCTATGTGCCAAGTTTGGTGAAGAAATATGGAACGGTTTTCAAGATCTGCTCCGGAAACAAAATGTGACGGACGGACGGACGGCACCCATTCCTATATCCCCCTTCCACTTCGTGGCGGGGGATAATAACGCCGTGAGTGGTGATTTAGTAATGTGTAAAAATGGCGACATTTATGATGTACCTAATTTTCAGAGGTTATTTTCAGAACTTTTGCTTGGCCTAAAATGCCAGTGGATGATATCACAGAACAGGGAATGTCCCACATTATTCAAAACTGTGAAGTAGTTGTGTGGGTGATGTATTTTGAATTTTATTCGACTCAAAAGTGAGGGTTGTAGAGGAGGGGCATATATGTCCCTGTGGCATCCAGGGGGGTTAAACTATTTACATAAAAACCTTCGAATCAAGTAATCTTTCTTTCAACACATCTTTATAACGTTGGTTGGTTGGTTTGTTGTTTGACGCCGCATTCAGCAGTATTCCAGCTATATGACGGCGGTCTTCATAACGCATTCTGTACGGGGCGTTTAGTCCTCTGACTCATGCAGGTGTTGGTGGTGGGGTGGGGAGAGGATGGGGTGGTGGGGGGTGGGGTAGGGGGTGCGGGGTGGGGGGTGGGGGAGTGATGGAGTCTGTCATCATCGTCTATTCGGAGGCCAATCGGAGCGCACCTGACCCGGATATATGTCATTCCCAATCCTGTTAGCCCAATTATTTCTCAACATCTCATTATTTGCTATTAAATGGGGAATATTTACCTCTACAGGTATAAAGGTAAGCAGTCAGTCCGCGCTTCATTCACTGGTCGTCTACCCGAAGCTCTGAAGAAATGTTCGTCGTTACTGTCGGTGTCGCGACACTGCTGTCCACATTGTTTGTGGCTCAGGGTACGTATTTCTTGTTGTATATTAGCTTTATACTGTGAGAAAACTATTTCTTTCAAATCGATTTTTTTAAAGCACAGAATTAGGTATATATGTTTTCAACAAAAATAATCCATGGTAACAGATTTCTTGCAAGAAATATTTCTGCTGTAATTTATTTAATTTTTTAAATTCGTCTAATTTTTAAAAGTTTTATTTTCTATTTATTCTGAAGACGAACCTGCCTTAATTCTACAAAGTTGTTTTTTTAATAAAATGTATTTCTGTTAGATGAGCAATCGGCTATACTTACTTTTAACAACTTTTTGTATATATTAAAAATTAAAAAATTATTATTGCTTCCTGTACTGACCAAATCAATACCGTTAGACAAGAAAATAAATTGGTTTGGCCTAAGGTGTAAATATTTAATAGCAATGCGTACCTTCGTTAGTAACTGTTGTATTACCACCCGTGCAGCCTATGAGATCGGTGCAAGCTGGCAGTGCGGGGACACCTAACTGTGCCCTCACCTATTGTTATAGGATACAGGTGTAGTCAGCCGTGGTTAAGTGGGTAACAATAGGGGGTTACCTATAGTCTGTTGCATGTCTATATAGAGAAAATTACTATCTGTCAGATTCATAAAACTTCATATACATTTCAACAGTACATTCACTTTACAGAAACATATATTTCGTAAAATTTCATATATTTCATATTGATAGATTACGTATTGCAAAAATAAATATACATTTCAAATTCAATTTAAAGCAGAAATATTCAGTTCACAATCCAACATATTCAGCCACAGCGTCAGCATATTCAATTGGTGTCAGTCTGCCAGTCAACAAGTTGTCCTTCTCTATCAGGATGTTGTCAGTTTGGAGATATTTCCTTCTCTTTGGTGGCAGTCGCCCTCGGCATGAATTTGCATTAACAATGTCTCTGAACGTGATTGTTCATTCTTGTTAATGTCAATAAATTTAAAGATGTTTGGAGGACTTGGGCCCAATTTCTTCAGCTTGGAGTGCCGGTTTAACCTCACTGTGCTCTCACCCCAAATGTTGTTACTACACCTGTACCCTATAACAACAGGCGAGGGCACAGTGAGGTGTTCCCTGCACTGTTAGAGCAACTAAGGGCCTATGGGCTTTCCGCCAGTCTTGAATCAAGTCTTGATGTGACGCCACTGTCTGCTAACTCACATGTAAACATGTCAGTCACGCGGGTTATGGCGACTCTGTGCACACAATGCCTACGTTTTGCACAATATGTTTTGTTTGAAAGAAGGAACGGAACAGTGTTCTGGGAAACCACCACATATGAAAACGTAATGTTGTTGTAAAATATAGGGTAATAATAATAACATTAATAACAACAACAACAACAAAACAACAACAACAATAATAATAATGCTGTTGGCAAGTCAGTATGGATTCAGCTGATTTTTGCAGTAATCCTGACATTTGACGGCGCCAAACACAATGAATGGGATGAACAGTCTCTACCCATTTGGGGAATCGAACCCGGTTTTACAGATCGCAAAAACGGCGTAAAACTAGCCACTCATCCAGTGTGAGGCAGCGAATTCGCTGTGCAGGGTTGCGCCCCGTCATGGTGATTGGTTCTCATCCCAGATTCAGGACCCCATAGTCCTGGTTGACTGAATCCGTGTTGGGTTGCGTGACTTGACGTGACGTGACGTGACGTGACGTGATTGTGGATGTGATTGTGGATGTGATTGTGGATGTGATGTGATGTGATGTGATGTGATGTGATTGTGGATGTGATGTGATGTGATTGTGGATGTGATACTGATGTGATGTGATGTGATACTGATGTGATGTGATGTGATACTGATGTGATGTGATGTGATGTGATGTGATACTGATGTGATACTGATGTGATGTGATGTGATACTGGTGTGATGTGATGTGATACTGATGTGATGTGACGTGACGTGATGTGATGTGATACTGATGTGATGTGATGTGACGTGACGTGACGTGACGTGGTGTGATGTGATACTGATGGGATGTGATGTGATGTGGTGTGATGTGATACTGATGTGATGTGACGTGATGTGATGTGATGTGATGTGATACTGATGTGATGTGATGTGATACGATGTGATGTGATGTGACGTGATGTGATGTGATACTGATGTGATATGATGTGATACTGATGTGATGTGATGTGATGTGATACTGATGTGATGTGATGTGATGTGATGTGATGTGATACTGATGTGATGTGATGTGATACGATGTGATGTGATGTGACGTGATGTGATGTGATACTGATGTGATATGATGTGATACTGATGTGATGTGATGTGATGTGATACTGATGTGATTGTGGATGTGATGTGATGTGATCTGATTGTGGATGTGATACTGATGTGATGTGATGTGATGTGACGTGATGTGATGTGATGTGATGTGATACTGATGTGATGTGATGTGATGTGACGTGATGTGATGTGATGTGATGTGATACTGATGTGATGTGATGTGATGTGATGTGATGTGATACTGATGTGATGTGATGTGATTGTGGATGTGATGTGATACTGATGTGATGTGATGTGATGTGACGTGACGTGATGTGATGTGATACTGATGTGATGTGATGTGACGTGACGTGATGTGATGTGATGTGATGTGATACTGATGTGACGTGACGTGACGTGATGTGATGTGATACTGATGTGATGTGATGTGATACTGATGTGACGTGACGTGACGTGATGTGATGTGATACTGATGTGATGTGATGTGATGTGATGTGATGTGATGTGATGTGATGTGATGTGATGTGACGTGATGTGATATGATACTGATGTGATGTGATGTGATGTGATGTGATGTGATACTGATGTGATGTGACGTGACGTGATGTGATGTGATACTGATGTGATGTGATGTGATGTGATGTGATGTGATACTGATGTGATGTGATGTGATACTGATGTGACGTGACGTGATGTGATGTGATACTGATGTGATGTGATGTGATGTGATGTGATGTGATACTGATGTGACGTGACGTGATGTGATGTGATGTGATGCTGATGTGATGTGATACTGATGTGACGTGACGTGATGTGATGTGATACTGATGTGATGTGATGTGATGTGATGTGATGTGATGTGATGTGACGTGACGTGATGTGATGTGATACTGATGTGATGTGATGTGACGTGACGTGATGTGATGTGATACTGATGTGATGTGATGTGATGTGATACTGATGTGATGTGATGTGATACTGATGTGACGTGACGTGATGTGATTTGATACTGATGTGATGTGACGTGATGTGATGTGATGTGATACTGATGTGACGTGACGTGATGTGATGTGATACTGATGTGATGTGATACTGATGTGATGTGACGTGATGTGATGTGATACTGATGTGATGTGATGTGATGTGATACGATGTGATGTGACGTGATGTGATGTGATGTGATGTGATACTGATGTGATGTGATGTGATTGTGGATGTGATGTGATACTGATGTGATGTGATGTGATGTGATACTGATGTGATGTGATGTGATGTGATGTGATGTGATACTGATGTGATACTGATGTGATACTGATGTGATGTGATGTGATGTGATGTGATGTGATACTGATGTGATGTGATGTGATGTGATGTGATACTGATGTGATGTGATACTGATGTGATGTGATGTGATACTGATGTGATGTGATGTGATGTGATACTGATGTGATACTGATGTGATGTGATGTGATGTGATGTGTGATGTGATGTGATGTGATACTGATGTGATGTGATACTGATGTGATGTGATACTGATGTGATGTGATGTGATGTGATGTGATGTGATGTGATACTGATGTGATGTGATGTGATGTGATGTGATGTGATGTGATACTGATGTGATGTGATGTGATTGTGGATGTGATGTGATGTGATACTGATGTGATGTGATGTGATACTGATGTGATGTGATGTGATGTGATGTGATGTGATACTGATGTGATGTGATTTGATGTGATGTGATACTGATGTGATGTGATGTGATACTGATGTGATGTGACGTGATGTGATGTGATACTGATGTGATGTGATGTGATACGATGTGATGTGACGTGATGTGATGTGATACTGATGTGATGTGATGTGATGTGATGTGATGTGGTACTGATGTGATGTCATGTGATGTGATGTGATACTGATGTGATGTGATGTGATTGTGGATGTGATGTGATGTGATGTGATGTGATTTTTGGATGTGATGTGATGTGATGTGATACTGATGTGATGTGAAGTGATACGATGTGATGTGATGTGATGTGATGTGATGTGATGTGATACTGATGTGATGTGATTGTGGATGTGATGTGATGTGATACTGATGTGATACTGATGTGATGTGATGTGACGTGACGTGATGTGATACTGATGTGATGTGATGTGACGTGATGTGATGTGATGTGATGTGATACTGATGTGACGTGACGTGACGTGACGTGATGTGATGTGATACTGATGTGATGTGATGTGATACTGATGTGACGTGACGTGATATGATGTGATACTGATGTGATGTGATGTGATGTGATGTGATGTGATGTGACGTGATGTGATGTGATACTGATGTGATGTGATGTGATGTGATACTGATGTGATGTGACGTGACGTGACGTGATGTGATGTGATGTGATACTGATGTGATGTGATGTGATGTGATGTGATACTGATGTGATGTGATGTGATACTGATGTGACGTGACGTGATGTGATGTGATACTGATGTGATGTGATGTGATGTGATGTGATACTGATGTGACGTGACGTGATGTGATGTGATACTGATGTGATGTGATGTGATGTGATGTGATACCGATGTGATGTGATGTGATGTGATACTGATGTGATACTGATGTGATACTGATGTGATGTGATGTGATGTGATGTGATACTGATGTGATGTGATACTGATGTGACGTGATACTGATGTGATGTGATGTGATGTGATGTGATGTGATGTGACGTGATGTGATGTGATGTGATTTGATGTGATGTGATACTGATGTGATGTGATGTGATGTGATGTGATGTGACGTGACGTGATGTGACTGACTGAGTATGGTTTGTCGCCGCCTTTAGCAATATTCCAGCAATATCACGGCGGGGGACACCAGAAATGGGCTTCACACATTGTACCCATGTCGGGAATCGAACCCGGGTCTTCGGCGTGACGAGCGAACGCTTTAACCACTGGGCTACCCGACCGCCCCTGATGTGATGTGATGTGATGTGATGTGATACTGATGTGATGTGATGTGATGTGATGTGATGTGATGTGATGCAACAGTCCTATTTCCGCCATCATTGCACACAAACCCTCCTGAATACTGCACACAGTTTCAGTGAACAGTCGTTGGATTAACAGAGTTCCCCAGTCACGTCTCCACTTACTTTGGTGTTATCCGAATTAAATTCAGTGAAGGGGATTTTATTCACAAAGGAATATTTATATACAATTCCAGTGCCCTACGTGCGCATATGCCAGTTATTTCTAGATGAAAAAATATGGCGACATGGGAACAGTGTGTGAAGCCCATTTCTGTCGTCCCCCGCCGTGATATTGATGTGATATTGCTAAAAGCGGCGTTAAACCTTCCTCACTCACTCTTTGTATAAAGTCCCAGTTTTATTGTCGGGCAATACTTGCTTTGTCAATTTATTCATTGATTTTCATTTTATGTTTCTTTCGTCAGGCAAATCTATCGGAACAAAACTGCGACCACTGGAGGAAATTCAAGAAATACTTTCGCGAGAGAAACGGGATTTGAATATATTTGAGAGAAGCGACCGTAAGATATTGATTATAATATTATACTGAATGTGTAGAATCTCACCGAGCGTCTTTTAGTATCAAATATATCAAGACATATATCTACAATGTAATTATCGCTTGATCTCACCCTAGCGATATCTCCTGTGGGAGCCAGTTTTGGATGATAAACTTATGACCTTGCTCGTATACTAATAGAGTTATCATATCGTAAAATGATTATGAAAATCGATTGGAAACATGAATTAATTGGTTCTGGAGGTGTTATAGTACTTGTTAAAAAGAATCTATCTGCTTATGTCAAGGATACAGAGGTGTTTGACAGTGGAATTTTACTCTTATTGGACAAACAGCTCTTTGGACTTAAAAAAAATATTTTATACTCTTGTGTTTATATACATCCAGAGGGATCAAACTGGTATTCTAATCTGTTAAGACAGTATAAGAATGGTGTAATATACCTACAAGAGAAGCTTCTTGAGGTTCTAATGAAATTTAATGATGTATATATGTTTATTGGTGGCGATTTTAACGCCAGGACGGGAACAGAGGCTGATTTTATAGAGGATGATATTATTGAGTATGTTGAAGGTAATGACGGTTGTTTTGGGGATTTTATGTTAGATAAATTCTCACTGAAAAGATATTCAGTGGATAAGTGTGTCAATAATTTTGGCAGATGTTTGTTAAATCTATGTGCTGTATTAAATGTTCACATAATGAACGGAAGATGTGATGATGATCAGGGAGTTGGTGACTATACTTTCATTGGACATAATGGGGCCAGCTTAATAGATTACGTTTTATGCTCCCAAGAGCTTTTTCCAAATTGCAAAAAGTTTGCTGTTCTTTCGCGAGCAGAATCATCACACCTTCCACCTCATTTATCTTTACGAGCGCTTTATCACAGTGAACGCCACGCTGATAGTAATTCCAAAGATTTGAGCTATAAGTTCAAGTGGGACAGCACTAAGAAAAACTCCTTTTGCGATAATTTACAATCAGATAGGGTTCAAAATTTGTTGGAGGAATCCATAGATGTAGCCTTTACAAACATAGATGAAAGTATTAATTGTTTATCCCGGGCTTTGTGTACGGTAGCAGAAGGAATGCGGAAACTTGTTTGTGGTACTCCAAAAACTAGCAAACCTTGGTATGATTTTGAATGTGAACTCTACAAAAAGGAAAGTTGTAGGGCATTAAATAAATTCAGGACACTTAAGGACACCCAGTCTTTGCAAGAGTATAACTTCGCACGGAATAAATACAAGGCAGTTTGTCGTAAACGAAAAGAAGCATATAACGGAGAGAAATTAAAACTATTAGAAAATTCCATCGAAAACCCCAAAAAGTTTTGGGAAGTGTTAAAAAGTTTAAAATGTACTAACTATACGTTTAATACGATAAAATTGGAAGACTGGTTTAATCATTTTAAGGGATTATTTGACGATAGATCAGAAGAGAATGGCTCAGATGTTAATGATTTTCATAATTATTTCTAGTCAGTTTTGGAAAATACTGTTGAGAATGATATTACAAGGGATATCTTAGATTTACCAATTTCAGAAGATGAGATAAGAGTAAGCATTCGGCATCTTAAAAATAATAAATCTGCAGGAATAGATAACCTTATCCCGGAGTTTTTCAAACACGCTGAAGATTTATTAACGCCATACCTACTGGTAATGTTTAATTTAATGCTTTAAAAATCTTACTTTCCTAAATGTTGGGATGTTGGTATTATCATACCCCTATTCAAGAATGATGACCCAAATATGACTGACAATTATCGAGGTATTACACTTCTTAGTATATTTAGTAAAGTTTTCTTGTATATCATCAATAAAAGACTAGTTTTTTGGTCCAACGCTACAGATAAAATCACTGAGGCACAAGCAGGATTTAGGGAAGGATACTCAACCACGGACAATATTTTTATTTTGTATAGTCTCATTCAGCGCTATATATCAAGCAAAGGGGGTACATTTTACGTTTTATTTGTTGATTTCTCTAAAGCTTTTGATTCTGTGGATAGAAGTAAATTATGGATGTTATTTACCAAGCATGGCCTGAGCAGTAAAATGGTAAAACTATTGTGTAGCATATAAACAATGTAAAAGCATGTATAAGAAATAACGGTGTAATGTCTACCGCTTTTGACTGCAGCATTGGTGTACGCCAGGGATGTATACTTAGCCCTTTTTTGTTTGTCTTCTTTATTAATGAACTAGCTACAGCTGTTCATCAGAACTGTACAGATGGTATACATCTTCATCCAGACATTGTCAAGCTTTTCCTTCTGTTATTTGCTGATGACATTATCATGTTTTCTAGTACGGTGAAAGGATTGCAGAAACAAATAGAAGAATGAGAAGTTCATTGTGATAAGTTTAATTTGAAAATTAATACAAATAAGACAAAAATCGTTGTTTTCAAAAAAGGTGGCAAATTATCAAGGTTTGAAAAGTGGTTATTTAAAGGTCAGTGTTTAGAAGTAGTTAAGGGTTATAAATATTTAGGTGTGTATTTTTCCAATACGTTGGCATGGAATACACATGGAAATAATGCTGCTGTACAGGGAAAGAAAATATTGCTGGGCATGTTCAGTAGTTTAAAAAATGTTGGGGCTGTAAACTATAGAATATACTTCAAAATATTTAACACGAAAATTAAACCCATTCTTTTATATGGGGCAGAAATTTGGGGATTTACACAAATAGATGCTCTGGAAAAAGTTCATTTATATGCTTGTAAGAAATATTTAGGAGTTAAAATGAATACCCCAAACGTGATCGTTTATGGTGAATGTTGACGAGTCCCTTTGTGTATAGAAGCACGTCTGAAAATAATAAAATATTGGATAAGACTACTTAATATGCCCTCCTCAAGATTCCCTAAGAAATGTTACAATATGATGTGTTTGTATGATAGCAATGGCAAAACAAATTGGGTAACCGACTTTAAGGAACCTGCTGAATAATTGTGGTTTTGGTTACAGTTTTAAATTAGAACATATTGCTTATCCGAAATTGTTCATAAATGCTATAACACAAAGATTAAAAGATTTATATTTTCAGTCATGGAATGCAACTCTAACGCGTTCACCAAAGTCCCTGTTATATAGCAGTTTCAAGTCATATATCATTACAGAGCAATACCTGTTCAGTGTTAGCCTTAGACAATTTAGGGTAGCACTTGCAAGATTCCGATGTTCATCACACGATCTTATAATTGAAAAAGGTAGATATCAAAATATTCCGAGAGAAAATAGACTCTGTCCACTATGTGACCTAGGATTAATTGAGGACGAGTATCACTTTTTACTAGTATGTCCGCATTATGATGAACTAAGAAAAGTATATTTACCAAAATATTTTCATATAAACCATTGTACATTTAAGTTTAAACTATTACTGACCACTAGCAACATCGAAACCATAAGAAATCTTTCTATGTACATATATCATGCTTTTATACAAAGAAAATCAAGTTTGGAAAATATATGATTGTACCAATTGCTCCTGTAATCATGATTGTACTATAGGCCTGTGGCCTCCTCAGTACGTTGAATAAAGAAATTGAAATTGAATTGAATTAATTGGTCTTTATTCCTTACAGCTTACACGTATTAAACCCTTTAAATTTCATCTTATAACTGTACATGTATTTCTGCATTCTGATTACGAGAACGAAAACAGAGTTAACCTGCAAATCTTGATTAGGAAAATAGAGTTAACCAACAACGATGAAAATATTAAATAATATAAATGTCATAAATTTGATATAAACGCTCATATTATGTTCATTCCAGGCGTGTATGTATACATGCGTCAAGTCCTTCCTCTGTTTGAACTGTATGTTGGACGCAACGGCCCCGTCATCGACATCCGCCACTTCGAGAACTACGACAGGACCATCAACATCAGCAACGTCTTCTACGTCAGGCCAACACACGTGAGGCACGTGCAGAATGTGGTCCGAGCTGCCCACTGGCTGGGACTACATGTTCGCGCGGTGGGCTACTTTCAGAGTCGCGCGCCGCTCTACGTGGATGAAGGTCACGTGATGCTGGATATCACAGGTCTGGAACGTCATGACGGACCCAAGCTGCAAATAAACGAACCGGTAATAAGCTTATAATTCTTATAGAACACACTGATAAACTGGTATTTCAATTACGAGTTCATTCTTATAGATAAGTGATTCCTTGGCGTTTGATTGGCTAACCAAGAAATGTTTTCTTGTCTTTTGTTTCAATAAACCTTAAAAAAAGTAGGACACGCCCACTAGCTTTCTAACATTTCCTGATTGGCTGAAAATAGAGTGGGCGGGGCTTGGGTTGCGTTATTAAAATAAACAATATCACTGATTTCTTTTCGATGTCTACAAGGTACCGTCTACAAGTGTTGATGTTAGTGATTAAATAAGCGTTCTGTGAATTATTTTTTTGACGTGTTCATAAGAACTGACTTCAACATAACATTATGTTTTGTGTTTTATATTGTTTTCAAAAACTTAAACCTCCATTAACGTAACCAAATACTGAAGTAATTCTTAAATAATCACAATGTTCGTACACAGTAAACACTCACAAAGTCATACACTTCTTACGGCGAGAGTGAGTGAGGTGGATCTGACGCCGCTTTTATCAATTATTGAGCTATATCATAGTGTGTCACTATACTGGGGGGAACCCAATCTTCGCGAGACAAGGGAGCTAACTGACACCAACTGTCTACAAACTAGACTATTATGGTCAGTTAACTCCCTTGCCTCGGAAAGATGTAGTCCCACGAACCTACATCATAGCTTTGTCACAGGCATTCTTAAATATACGAGACCGTCTCCGTGACTGCGAGATTTGCAAGATTGGATGCGGATCTGTTCAATGATTAATCCGAATGGGCTGCACTCCGGTTGTTGCCGTGTCCGTGTTCGTAAAGCCGCCTCCGTGGTCTAGTGGTAGAGCGTCCGCCCGGAGGCCGAAAGGTCGTGAGTTCGATCCCCGGCTGCGTCAGACCAAAAGACGTTCAAAGATGGTACTTATTGTTACTCTGCCTGGCACTCGGCATTAAGGGGCTAAAACAAGGACTCTGGGTCAGTATACTGTGTCTGGGTGGGGTATTCATGATGGTGAGGTGAGGTGAGGTGAAATTGGGTTTAACGTCGCGTCCAAGATTATTGCACTTATATAGCGACGTGCATGTACGTGTGTATGTTTGTGTGGCTGCTTGTACTAGTTCGGACTGATGCCGATTTATAGTGCTAGCCCACTGAGATACCATGCACAGCATACTGACTCCGAGCCGACCAGTCCTTGTTTTCGCCCCTTAATGCCGAGCGCCAGACAGGGTAACAACAAGCACCATCTCTTAACGTCTTTTGGTATGACACGGCCTGGGATCGAACCCCCGACCTTCCGCTCTTCGGGCGGACGCTCTACCACTAGACCACGGAGGCGGTTGTCTTCAAGATGGACTGCCGCATGGTATCACAGAGGAGTAGCACTATGAATCGGCATTAGTCCGGTCTAGTACAAGCAGTCACACACACGTGCATGTACGTCGCTATGTAAGTGTAATAACCTTGAACGTGATGTTAAACCCCTTTTCACCTCATCTCTTTAAATATACATTATCCTGGTTCCCTGTGTACGCTACGCTGGCGCAAGCTATATGTTTCCTATTTGTTTCAACAGACTGCCACACGCGACTACCACACCGTCACGTCCATGAGCGGCGTGTTCACCTACGAGTTAAACGCATTCCTCGTGCGACAACGTCTCACCTTCCATTCGGAGCCCATCCAGGTGAACGGAACTGTCGGGGGCATGGTTGCCGCGTCCTCACACGTGAGTTGTCTCCCTTTGGTCGTGCGCGCTTCGAACCACATCCGTGATCAAATCCGGATGTTTTTCTTGTAGGTTACAGTGAGATGCGAGTGAAATACATTCGTGACAATTCATGTCTTTCCGAGACAAACTGGATGGCATTCTTGTATGTTACTGAAAGAAGCGTGTGGTGACGAATGCCCCTATAAGTTGAAATATTGATGCAATCGGCGTTACGTTTCCGTAATGTTTCAGCATAGGTCAGTGTCTTCATCTCAAGCTGATTGAAAAATATCAACCAATGTTTTGATTTTGTTTTTTTTGTTTATTTGTTGTTTAACGCCGCACTCAGCAATATTCCAGCTATATGACAGCGGTCTGTAAATAATCGAGTCTGGACCAGACAATCCAGTGATTGATATCATGAGCATCGATCCACGCAGTTGGGATGCCAAGACATGCATGAACCAAGTCAGCGAGCCTGACCACCCGATCCCGTTAGTCGCCTCTTACGACAAGCATGGTTTGCTGAAGACTTATTCTATCCCATTTTCACGGGTGACAAATGTTTTGAATATTATTTTATGTTATGAAATTAATAACTTAATGTGTAATATTTCATTGTCAATAAATATGTCCTATTAACAAGAATCTAAATGTGTAAATAATACTGCTTAATACTAATGTAAATTATTTACACAAACAGCTGCATAAAACACAACTGCATGAAACACAACTGCACGCGCAACGAAAGGAACTACGCATTTCGTCAGCATTAAAAACGCCCCTTCAATTTGATAATTTGTTTTATTAATAGACATGCATGTGGCCTCACTTGTGACCTTTGACCTAGGGTTCAAGCTGGGATGGACCAACCATGAGCGGCTACGTAGTTGAGATGAGGATAATTGACTCTCGGTCTCGGCTCCGGACATTCACGATCGAAGACGATGGTGACGTCATGAAGGCGCTCATGTGTAACCTCGGCGTCTTCGGGATCATGTATGACATCACGCTGAAGGTAAAATGGTCTGAATTGCACTACGACAGTAAAATGAGGACTAAAGATATATTATTTTCGATTAAATTCTTTCAAGGAAATATTTTGCATCGCTCACATTTCGTCACGACTTTTCAATGAGGATAAAACACTTTGTTTCGGTCAATGAATTGTTTCGATCAAAGAGAATTTCCTAGGAAACAGTTCTAAATTCAATTTTGGTTTTCAATAAAGTTGACGAAAAGAGCATGGTTATTGTCATGTTTGTCAAATACGTTATAGTAAAAGTTAACACAATAAAAACAGGTTGACATTTCTTTCGTCTCCCCTCACCAGGATCGTGCTAGAGTTACGCCCCCTAGCCGGGTCATGATCCGTAGATTCTTCCTGATCATGACCCTTTTTTGATCAGCACGCCCAAATGGCTTCAGGAATCCACCGAAGCACGTCAATCTACACGTAATATTACAGACATGCTGTTCAAAGCAGCGTTAAACCCAACTTACTCACGCATTTACCAGCTTGGTGTCAGTGATCTTATGGATGCTGATCGTGCAAGGCTTCGTTGTCATGGAAACACAGAATTGTTATATAAAATTTAATAACATTGTGTTGTCTACGGCACGTGGTACATACATTACACTGGAGCATAATATTGGTACTCGAACATCGGATATCTCGACTTTCATAACTCAGACGTAGTTACGACCACCCGATTCTTTCATATTACTATAGGTAATAAAAGATTAGTATAGTAATATTAAAGAATCGAGTATACCTTAACTTCTATTAAGTAGTATACATTTGCCGGTCCTCGGGACTTCAAGTTAATGAGTGAGTATTTTTACGCCGTATTTAGCAATAGTCCAGGAATGTAACACCAGAAAATGGAGACACCAGAAAATACACTTTAACCAGGGAGACCATAGAAACACTATATAGACTTCGTGCTTTAACCTTGCAAGGAATCCAACTTTGACCTTCGGAGTGACAAGCAGGTACATGAGTGAATTGGGTTTAACGCTGTCCTTAGCGAACGCTTATACCACGTGGCTACCCCACCTCTCCCAGACCTCGAGATTCAGTTTAATAAGAAACATATCAAATCATTCATACAGCATCATGAGTCGCTTGTCCATCACAGGTATTTCCAATGAAAATAGCCAAAGTTGAAAATCAGTTCCTGACAATAGAGGACCTCTTTTACAACGCGGAGGCACTGAAGGCCGTTGTGACGTCCAAATTCCTGACAGAACCTGCCTGGTACCCATTCAGCGGAATCTCGGACAGCGAGGCGGAAGAATACGCCCGGACCGGAACTATACCTAGCAACTGGACCGCCAAGAAAGACGTGATGTGGTTGAGGTATGTCCGCCAGGGAACTATTTCTCCTCGACAACCCTGCACAGTGGAACCCCGTTAAATTTAACTTACTTTTTTCTATTTTGATTTTTTGGCAAAAACACACACCCAAAAATAAAAATCAACTTATTTATATTGTAATATTTGGCACTCAACCTCTCTTTGAGTGTTTCTCTAAAGTGATCTTTTCTTTCCATGGTATGAAAACTTTGATACTAAAGAAGACACTTTTACCCGCCTTCGTTTTGGCTTGTATGTGGGATATACACATAAATAAGCGAGGTTAATATATATATATATATATATATATATATATATATATATATATATAATGCCGGGGCCAACGCGTGCAAATTATTCTCACGCGATGTGAAGCGGACATAAAATCGGACGTGGTTGTCGCCAATAAACAACTTCCTATTTAATCATATGTACGAATCAAATTAAATCATCCTTCAATGTCATGGTAGAAAATCCTTTATATCTGCGCAATTCATTGATAAATAGTTACAAGAACGTCAATGTCGACACATCCTGTCCAGGGGGATAAGGCAATGCCTCTGCTCGCACTGGTCTGTTTCTAGTCCGATACTGAATTTGTCATCATTGTTTTGGATGTAGCGCGCTGATGCCAGAAAAGACATGACATGGTTATATATCCCGAGTAGACTGTATTGTGGCTGTACAGGTATATAAACATATGTTGCAGGACAATCGAACTGGTGGAGGATGTAGACCCGTCCCTCATCCAGGGCCCCGTGTTCCTGCCCACTAAGGGGGCGCTGTCGGGGGGGAACGTCACTGGTCTACTGCGGGGCAGGGTAGAATGCTTGCCGTGTTATTATCATCATGTTATCCTGTTATTATCATCATGTTATCCTGTTATTATCATCATGTTATCACCAAGTTATCTTATTATTATCATGTTATCACAAGTTATCATCATGTTATCCTGTTATTATCATCATGTTATCATTATGTTATCCTGTTATTATTCTGTTATTATCGTCATGTTATCACCAAGTTATCATCATGTTATTATCATGTTGTTTCAATGTTATTCAGCCGAGAAGTTGTACAATGTGCAAAGCACAATTCTGGTATTTTAGTGTCACCCGCCGTGATTGATTGATTGATTGATTGATTGATTGATCGATCACTCACTCACTCACTCACTCACTCACTCACTCACTCAGCTGACAAGGGGCGCGGGTGGACCAGTCGCAGATGGCGGGTATAATGCGCTGTGCTGAGTTGAAGGGTTGATACATGATTTAATGAGTTACAATTACTCCCAATGTGAGTGAGTAAATCAGCAAGTTTGAGTCTCAAATATCTGGAAACGTTGGCAATCATGACATGTCTCACCCATTGACGTGAAGGTTGAGGTGAGGTGAAATGGGGTTAACGTCGCGTTCAAGATTATTGCTCTTATATAGTGACGTGCATGAACGGGTGTGTGTGAGTGTGGCTGCTTGTACTAGTCCGGACTTATGCCGATTTTATAGTACTAGCCCACTGAGATACCATGCCGCAGTTTCACATGGATACCCCACTCAGACACAGTAGACACACTTTATGGGTAACAACTTCTTTATTTACTTTTATCAATAAATTGTGTCTAATTTTTCATTCGTCAGCTCTAAGTAACGCCTATCTAACAATTCCTGTGGAAGGCAGTTTGACAAGATTTGACCTTCTTTATAAACCTCCAGTGACGTCATCCTCTTGTTCTCTGGTCGGGTTAAATCTCAGAAACAGGGACGCTGTAATATTCCCGGGATTTTATAGGATATTCAAGTCATATTTGCTATATAATTTGTTATAATATCCGATGGATTTTATATAATGTCCTGGGTATTTTATTTAAACAACTTCGGTTCAGATTGTAACATGTAATGAAATTAAAATCAAATGCCAATTATTTTCATTATATTCCCGAGGATCGAACACACAACCTTCGTATCTGTAGCCCAGTGAGTGTACCACAAGGCTACAGAGGTGTTGATCAATCACAATGTTTTTAGAATGTCCTTTTCAAGATCCGTATACCAGCAACAGATATTTTACGCCCGTTTCCTAATGTTCTTGGAAAGTATATTCGAAACATAAAAATGTTGATAAATGTTGTTTTAAGTTTCTTTTTTCGGTTCATAAGTTAGATAAAACACTTCCCCTCGGGTTGTTGTGCTATTTAAAACCCTTTCCCTCGGAAAATCCCTCGGGATGCGGGTTTTAAATATCATAACAACCCACGGACGTGTTTTATCCTATACACAAAACAGGGCAAACTGACCTGGAGAAGAGATTAAACATCTGTTTTGAACTGCAACGGGACTATTTCGGACAGATTTAAAGCGCACGGCACTATTTCAGTGTTATGTATGCTTGGCACTATGTGTAGATACCCCTGTACATTGAGGCCCAGTTTAGTTGATAATGACACCCTTTGGTGTTTCAGGCAGGCGTGGCTATCCCGCGGTCCCTGCCCCGTGTGAGCTACCACTACCTCATCGACGCCTTCGCCACCATCCTGCCCCCCAAACACGGCAAGGAGACGAGCGCGGCCTTCATGATGAATATAGACAAGGACTTCGACAGGCCGACCCGGGCCGTGCAGGTAGGTGTGGCTTTAAGAGATGCTAGTCACTGATAAAGTGGGTGAGGCGAAATGGGGTATAACGTCGCTTCCAATAATATTGCACTTATATAGCAACGTGCATGCACGTGTGCGTTCGTGCGTGCGTGCGTCTGCTTGTACTAGTCTGGACTGATGCCGATTTTATAGTGCAAGCCCACTGAGTTATCATGTCGCTACGCGGATTCATACAATTTGCGCATCGGTTTTTCGATTCATACCTCAATGAACCGAAATAAATACACGTCAATCCTTAACAACGGTACTTCAAGCCTATTGTTTACGTCTTCCGCACGGATGTGCTGACGTCATTCAAATCTCAATCGTGACATGAGGTCGGAATGATGTCACACTAGAAACAGCGTCATAGATGCGAAGATTCATTAGACAGTTGTTTTCTAAGACGATCGCAACAATACGACATGCTTGCGACGTTCTGCAACAATACGACATGCTTGCGACGTTCTGCAACAATACGACATGCTTGCGACGTTCCGCAACAATACGACATGCTTGCGACGTCCCGCAACAATACGACATGCTTGCGACGTTCCGCAATAATACGACATGCTTGCGACGTCCCCCAACAATACGACATGCTTGCAACGTTCCGCAACAATACGACATGCTTGCGACGTTCCGCAACAATACGACATACTTGCCACGTTCAGCAACAATACGACATACTTGCGACGTCCCGCAACAATACGACATACTTGCGACGTTCCCCAACAATACGACATCCTTGCGACGTCCCGCAACAATACGACATACTTGCGACGTCCACCAACAATACGACATACTTGCGACGTTCCGCAACAATACGACATGCTTGCGACGTCCCGCAACAATGCGACATGCTTGCAACGTTCCGCAACAATACGACATGCTTGCCACGTTCAGCAACAATACGACATACTTGCGACGTCCCGCAACAATACGACATACTTGCGACGTTCCCCAACAATACGACATCCTTGCGACGTCCCGCAACAATACGACATACTTGCGACGTTCCGCAACAATACGACATACTTGGGACGTCCCCCAACAATACGACATACTTGCGACGTTCCACAACAATACGACATGCTTGCGACGTTCCCCAACAATACGACATGCTTGCGACGTTCCACAACAATACGACATGCTTGCGACGTTTTAATAGGAACATTAAAGATTTCAATCAGAAGAATTCCTGAATAATCGATGACCTCATTGTGAAACACCCAACTTATTTTACCTCCGTCACAAAAGAGCTCCCTGTCTTTGAGTCGTAAGGTAACGTTGCGAAAGGTTTATGAGAACTTCATGAATAGAATGGCAGTCGTAATTTAAGTCGCTAAGATTTGTCTTAGCTAAGACAGCTCCGTGAATAGGCCGCCTGGACGTAATGTGGAAAGAAGAACAGGTCGAGGTGATACAAGGGGTAACCTCGTTTATACGGATGACATGGCATTACTGGTCATCATAGTTTACCATGCATCAGGTCGAGGTACAACATGTAACCTCGTTTATACGGATGACATGGTATTGATGGTCATCATAGTTTACCATTCATCAGGTCGAGGTACAACATGTAACCTCGTTTATACGGATGACATGGTATTGATAGTCATCATAGTTTACCATGCATCAGGTCGAGGTACAACTTGTCAACCTCGTTTATACGGATGACATGGTATTACTGGTCATCATAGTTTACCATGCTTCAAGTTGAGATGGTACAAAGTGTCACCTCTCTTAACCGAAACATTTATACTGAATCACGAATAACTTGGTCCAACCGCGATAGCTTAAACACACGTGATAGTCATTTAGAAATAGCTTCAATGAGGTCATCTGATGGTCATCAATTATTTCAAATTTAATAAGTTTCAAAACCCAAAGATGATTATTTATTGTCAGAATTTATATATATTTATATATATATATATATATGTATGAAACTGATATAAAGAAGATGATGGACTAACGTGGACTTTATTATTTTATTATATATATATATATATATATATATATATATATATATATATATATATATATTGCATCTGACCGGAATCAAATCGATGTAAAGCGAGTACTTGTCAATCTGTTTGGTTGTTTAATATTAAATGCCTATACTTTGTTGCACGTGCAATAATCCAGTCTCGCAAACGTGTTCCCTTCATACTGTTAACCACAGGTTTGTTTGTTTAAAGCCACACTTAGCAACATTCCAGCTATATGACGGCGGCCTACAAGTAATTGTGTCTGAACCAGACAAGCCAGTGATCAATATTGTGAGCAACATTTCACGCCAACGCAAAGAACGTAATAATGTATCAAATGTATATATTTGTCAATTACTGTTTTCAGTTCATCATTGAGGAGTCAGAGCGACAGATCCGGCTCAACGGCACCACCCCTGTCAACGCCCTCCTCCCTCGATTTGTCCTCAACGTCGACTGTCTCCTCTGCCCCGCAAACAACGCCTTCAACGTCGCCGGAGACACCGGCAGGTCCTTCGTGGTCGACTTCCTGGCGCCCCCATGGCAAGCTGGCTTCTACGACATCACCATTAAGGTAATGCTGAAATTATAACAGTGAACAGTAAAGTCTTTCACGGGCATTTAGAAGTTGGAAGTACACGAAGACATAGAGGATATTTTTATGTGTTTTCTCAAATACCACTTTTATCTCATCTCGTGAAGTGGGGAGAGTATAATATTTTCACGAGTGACTGAGAACTTGATCTATCGTCACTGATAAATTCCAGTATTTCATTCATATGTATATAATAAATGGCACTTTTACAGACAACAACTTCTGTATTGTTTGTAAGGATACTTCAGGCTACTTCTTGCAAATTCAATGTCATTACAAACAACAAAGAAGCTATACAATTGCCGAGTTGCCCGTAAAGATCGGGGGTTAAATAGGGAGCCGGTCTTCAGCAACCCATGCCTGTCGTAAGAGGCGACTAACGGGATCGGGGGGTCAGGTTCACTGACTTGGTTGATGCATGTCATCGTATCCCAATTGCGTAGATCGATGCTAACGATGCTGAAGACTTGTGTGAAGACTTGTGTGGTCATTTCTGTTACTGATATATTGAAAATGTGTATTATATACTATTGCAAAACGTTGCACCACCATTTCAATAGAATATTGTAATACTTTTACATTCCTTCAATCGTATCCCAAATTCGTGGATCGATGCTCATGATATCAATCACTGGATTGTATGGTCCAGACTCGATTATTTACAGACCGCCATCATATAGCTGGAATACTGCTGAGTGTGTCGTTAAACAACAACCAAACTAACAATTGTCTAGTCTTCATATCATAATCTATCCCCGTTAATCCAGACTGTACTGTATCTGGATTAATGAATGTCCGGATTAACGAATGCCCGGAGTAACGAACCATGGGTACGAAGTATGATCGCTTCTGATACATACAATTCATCCATACAATAAGAGTTCGGTATGATGGGGTTCCGGATTAATGACGTCCGTACTATCGGGGTTTCACTGAATAAACAAACTGCATGTAGTTGTAGATATAGGATCACAGCGTAGTTTGAAGCCATCATACAACGGGCACACTATGACTGGGCCTTACTGTAGGATCAAACCAGACGTGTTAAGTGGACGAACCTTCTACCTCTGGACCAATCTGGACCAATAATACCTAATGTCTCACATATATCGATACATTACGTCTCACATCTACCAATACCTTGTCTCACATCTACCAAGACCTTGTCTCACATCTACCAATACCTTGTCTCACATCTACCAATATCTACCAATACCTTGTCTCACATGTACCAATACCTTGTCTCACATGTACCAATACCTTGTCTCACATCTACCAATACCTACCAATACCTTGTCTCACATCTACCAATATCTTGTCTCACATCTCCAAATACCTTGTCTCACATCTCCAAATACCTTGTCTCACATCTCCAAATACCTTGTCTCACATCTACAAATACCTTGTCTCACTTTTACCAATACCTTGTCTCACATCTCCAAATACCTTGTCTCACATGTACCAATACCTTGTCTCACATCTACCAATACCTTGTCTCACATCTACCAATACCTTGTCTCACATCTCCAAATACCTTGTCTCACATCTACAAATACCTTGTCTCACATCTACCAATACCTACCAATACCTTGTCTCACATGTACCAATACCTTGTCTCACATGTACCAATACCTTGTCTCACATGTACCAATACCTTGTCTCACATCTACCAATACCTTGTCTCACATCTACCAATACCTTGTCTCACATCTACCAATACCTACCAATACCTTGTCTCACATGTACCAATACCTTGTCTCACATGTACCAACACCTTGTCTCACATGTACCAATACCTTGTCTCACATCTACCAATACCATGTCTCACATCTACCAATACCTTGACTCACATCTACCAATACCCTGTCTCACATCTACCAATACCTTGTCTCACATCTACCAATACCTTGTCTCACATCTACCAATACCTTGTCTCACATCTACCAATACCTTGTCTCACATATATATCTCCCGTGCCTAGTTGCAGCTGACCTAACATCGTGGGGATGAATAGATACGTCTCATATATATGTATCAGTACCTTATGCCACTGATCGTGTAAAACACTGGTCACGTTGTTAGTTAACTACGCTTATAACGAAGTCGAATAAAGCGAAATAATATTGAATATTGCGTCACAAATATATGAATAGCTTTCGTCTTACATTATCGAATACATTACGTCTCACATATATATCTATATCGCGCGTCTCTCTCTCTCTCTCTCTCTCTCTCTCTCTCTCACACACACACACACACACACACCCACACACCCACACACACATATTAATACTTTACGTCTCACATATACATCAGTACCTTACCTTATATCAAATAGTGTCGAGTCAGTAACAATAACGCCAAGGAGTTACATCTCTCACTCCGTCCACAATTCCAAGTAAGCCACCGTCAGCTATGTTGACAAGACGAGCAAAAGCCTCGACAAACACGAACATGTGGGTAATCATGACCTGGATAGCGGAATCTCGACGCCCTTCAGAAGTTCACGCTGACTCACTGAGTACAGTCCCCTTATACCGCCTGCTAATTCTCTGTTTTTCTCTCCCCTCAGTTTATGACAGCGTTTGAGAAGGAGGATATCCGCCCCCACTGGCCTAAACGGTACGACAATATTCCTGGAATCATACCGCATATTCGCCGAGTGTACGGAGATAACATCCGGGCTTTCCTGGCTGCACGTGACCAGGCGGCAGTGGATCCATGCGACATGTTTATGAATACGTATTTATCTGAAATTCTAGGTCACACCATAAAGTTCTGCTGAAGACTTGTGTGGTCATTTCTGTTACTGATATATTGAAAATGTGTATTATATACTATTGCAAAACGTTGCACCACCATTTCAATAGAATATTGTAATACTTTTACATTCCTTCAATCGTATCCCAAATTCGTGGATCGATGCTCATGATATCAATCACTGGAATGTCTTGTCCAGTCTCGATTATTTACAGACAGAGATTGGTGAGTGTGGCGTTAAACAACAAACAAAAATAAAAAAAACATTCCCACAATGCGTATGTCCTTGCTTTTGTTGTTCAACATTAATTCAAGGTCGAAACGTTCTTATATTTCCAAGTTTCGGGCACGCCAGAAACATTTGACTGTGTGTTCAAATCCCGGTTCGCTCCGATTATGTTTCTAGGTTTGTCAGTTTGTAAAATAATGTTGAGTACTGAGTGAGTGAGTGAGTAAGTGAGTTGGGTTTAACGCCGCTTTAAACAGTATTCTAGTTATATCGCGACGTGCCAGCTTAATGTGGGAGGAAAGCCTGAGGTCATGCAGGTCTCAGACGTTTACCACTTCGGTGAAACCCACGAACATGGGTATGGTGCTGACAAACCTAGAAACATAATCGGGGCGCACCGGGATTCGAACCCACAATCATAGGTTTCTCGCGTGCTCAAGGGACGCAACTCTGCACAGCGAATCGCGGGGCCTTAGACGACAGGGCCACACGTGCCCTCTGAGTACTGATTGGCTCACGTGATCTTGATAAAATACTACGTATCCCGCCTGAGAGGAAATTACATTTCTGAGCGGTAGAATATATTCCTTATACCCCGCCACAAAGAATTCAGCTAGTCTGTCATGCAGACCCTGAAACAGATATATCCAATAAAGCCCATGCGAGTCTATAATGGTTGGCACGTCTAGATTACTGCAGTATAAGATGAAGAGAGTCTTATTTCGTTATAAAGATATTTTAACAACTGTTTTTCTCTGTAAGATATGTTCATTTCAGAGACTGTCAGAAAACAGGCTGCACGTATATCTCTGAGCTGCGGAACAAACCCCTTATACCCCGCTACGAAGCAAACTTAAAAGCTGCGCGTTGTTTCCGAGTCAATGAAAGTCACGTGACACAGCACCAGCTAACCTCAACTCAAACAAGTGTTTTCTATAATTTTTCAATTTGTCATAATTCTTTTACATTCGCAGAATGAAACATATCGGTAACACAAGTCCGCTGTAGCAGGATCGCGAGGGTGTGTGTGGTGCTGTACGCGTCCCTCGTTACGCTCTATACCACTCGCATCCGGCCTCCAGCCCGGGACACTCGGGTCACACAATACTACATATACCCCTCCCTACATCCTATAATGTAGATCCTTTACATAACGCCATGATGACACACGGGTAGGTCAAAGGTAACACAGGACGTGCTTTATCCGACTTGAAGGTGAAGGTCGTAGTACCCGGACACACGATCAATCACGGAACGTTCTGACCTCCTGCTCGGCTCGGGAACACGTGCCTTTCGTTAATTCATTGTGCGTCCGTTTATAGACATTGTCACTTTCGACAAAGTCTGGGACTCATGCCAGATAGTGGACGCTATATATATTCCATCCAGTGACATCTGATATTCAGCTTTCGAATTCTTCACTCAATAACTTTTCTTAGAATCAGTATTCAACCCGTGAAGATCCGGGTAGAGAATAGGTCTTTATCAACCCATGCCTGTCGTAAGAGGCGACTAACGGGATCGGGGGGTCAGGCTCGCTGACATAGTTGATGCATGTCATCGATCCCAATTGCGTGAATCGATGTTCATGATGTCAATCACTGGATTGTCTGTTCCAGACTCGATTAAACACAGACGGCCGTCATATCGCTGTAATATTGCTGAGTGCAGCGTTACACAACAAACAAACAAACATTTTGTTATAGCATTGGTTGGCGTTAAACAACAAATAAACAATAAAACAAACCATTAACACGCCTTCTGCTCTACTAATAATATATATTTTACGATCTTTATTATTAATACATCTACCATATTTAGCATTAATACTACTATCGTTACGACTAACGGGATCGGGTGGTCAGGCTCGCTGACTTGGTTGAAGCATGTCATCGATCCTAATTTCGTGGATCGATGCTCATGATATCAATCAATCAGTCTGGTCCAGACTCGATTATTTACAGACCGCCGTCATATATAGCTGGGATATTGCTGAGTGCGGCGTAAAACAACAAGCCAACCAACCAACTCTTAATACACAATGTTTACTCTCCATGCAACTCATGAGTGATGCCCTGTTGTTTATTGTAGATATTCCTGTCAGTAGTCGTCCAATTTTCCTGACTAACGAAACTGCAGATTGAGAGTCATGTTAATTTCAAACTCCGATATACCTGTAAGGCGTTTCCAGGGGGATAGTTAGTTTATCATTTGATATTCGCCGTAACGCAGTATTAGGAATAATTGTGAGACCAGCGGTTGCTCATACCGTGTCTACTGTTTCATGTTTCTAGGAAAAAGAAACACGCTAGAGATGAATCATTCACAATTCCTCGTAAAAGACAAAACAAGCGGAGAACATCCGGGTGAGCGAATGCGACCTTGACATGTATGAATCCACCGATCACGTGACATGTGACACTTTTCACACTTCCCATTTATAAACTAGAAGGGAAAGGGTCTAAATTCGTGTCCCCGCAACCACGCCGTGTGGTAAGCTGTCTGCAGAGACTAACATCTCGTCTCTAAAATGAACATATTTTACAGAAAAAAAACAGTTGTTAAATTATCTTAATAAAAATACATGTATAATAAAAAGGAGCCCAGAGACTCTCTTCATCCCGATACTGGAGTAATCTAGACTTGCCCAACATTATAGACTTGCATGGGCTGTATTGGATATATTTGTTTCAGGGTCTGTGTGACAGACAAGCTGTCTGCAGTACAGGCCTGGCTATACAACATTTATACAACATCGTAAAATTAGTTACCTGTTAAAATGTTATTGTCGCGAAGAACTGGAATTATCATTGTTAGATTGTGATTCATTGACACTAGACTTACATTTAGTCGCAGAAATAAAGTTATCTTATTAGAAAATATATGTGTACAAAATAAAATTATAAAATCCAAATGGAGCCCAGAACAATGCTTAATTTCCAAGAGCTTGGGCAATCTAGACTTGCCAAATCATTCTTGACTTGAGTAAGACTACTTTTTAATTTTCTTTCCACTAGGGTCTGGGACACATGCGCTGTGATATAGTCGGAATCCTGCAAACGACTCACTTATAGCAGGTATTTCTTGTGAATGTCTGAAAAGGGTTTTTTCGCATTTAAAAGTTTCTTTGCAACAATATCATTGTTTATAAGGCAACTTTGCAAGTTACCTCGTAACAATGGCATTGTTATTTATGCAACATTGCAAGTTTCCAATAAACCAATGTCATAACAAACTGATCTCATTAATAACTTTAATACCGCCTATGGCCGCCTCCGTGGTCTAGTGGTAGAGCGTCCGCCCGGAGAGCGGCAGGTCCGGGGTTCGATCCCAGGCCGCGTCATTCCAAAAGACGTTAAAAGATGGTACTTGTTGTTACCCTGTCTGGCGCCCGGCATTAAGACGAGGCTAAAACAAGGACTGGTCTGAGTGGTGAATTCATGTTAAAACTGCGGCATGGTATCTCAGTGTGCTAGCACTATAAATCGGCATCAGTCCGGACTAGTACAAGCAGCCACACAAACACACACACGTACATGCACGTCGCCAAATAAGTGCAATAATCTTGGACGCGACGTTAAACCCATTTCACCTCACCTCACCTAATACTGCCTATACTTTGATACACGTGCAATAATCCAGTCTTGGTCAACGTGTTCCCGTCATACTGTTAACCACATGTATAATATCATATCTAGGCATATACCATGAAACGAACGACTGAATAGAGATATAGAACGAAATTATCACTCGTCACAAAGACAAAGGCCCGGATGTTGAGTAATCAACACCAGGGAAGATAAGCGCATAATGTTTGTTTGTTTGTTATTTAACGCCGCACTCAGCAATGTTCCAGCTATATGACGGCAGTTTGTAAATAATCGAGTCTGGAGCAGACAATCCAGTGATTGACATCATGAGCATCGATCCACACAATTTGAATACGATAACATGCATCAACCAAGTCAGCGAGCCTGCCCACCCGATCCCGTTAGTCGCCTCTTGCGACAAGCATAGTCTCCTTTTACGGCAAGCATGGGTTGCTGAAGACCCCGGATCTTCTCGGGTCGATAATCGCATGTTGAGTACACGCAGATTAAATATTACTATCAGTTTGTATGACTACAGATATCTCAAAGTGATGTAATTGTTTAAAGTTCAAATTTGCAACAATAATTTGTCTCTTAAAAATGTCATTATTAATGCAACATTTCAAAAACAAAGTTATCAGCGAAATTCACGAAGCCCGGAACACGTCACACCGGACGATCTCACGGGAACACAAACTTAATGTATTCACCACGATTCGTCAATCCAGAAATTCGATTGTCCAGGAGATTTCACTTGACACTGTCTGGATTAACGGGGCTCCAGTTTATATCACATTGAAAATAAAGATGGGTGAGTGAGTGAGTGAGTTTGGTTTTTACGCCGCTTTTAGCAATATTCCAGCAATATCACAACGGGGGACACCAGAAATGGACTTCACACATTGTACCCATGTCGGGAATCGAACCCGGGTCTTCGGCATGACGAGCGAACGCTTTAACCACTGGGCTACCCGACCGCCCCGAATATAAAGATGGAAGCCGTATACAGACACATATATACCGATGACGAGGTTGACATCGATGACTGTAACTGTCATTCGTCATACACAGCGGGGCAAAAGAAAGTATACCGAGTTTTGTTTTTGTTGTATGTCATTGAAAATCGAAAAAAACTGTTGTTGAATTTGATTATGTCTGTATAACCTTCACTCAATCCTGCTACAATTTGTAAAAAAAAGTAACCCGTGGCTGGGTAGGTTTGTGTAAAAATATATTTGTTCAATGAAGACTGGGGTAAGAAATGAATTTTCAACGACATGACCCATATATGGCGCCGAAAAAACAACTTTATTAATTTTCAAAGAGCAGATCTCTAAGACACCCATCAGCAGTTTTTAATAAAATTAGTAATTTAAATAAAACAATGTATAGAAGTATTCTTTTAGTGCTGAATAAGCGCCAGTACATTTAATCTTTTTAAATATCGCAAACAGATATTTTCAACTGAAATGAAACATGAAATCAACTGAGAGGTCTTTTCCTTTGCTCTTCAGGTTAAATCATATCGATGACCAGTGCCGTAGCCACACACCCCCCCCCCCCCCCCTCCCAGATTTTTTTTTATAGAAAACAGTTTTAGTTGGGGACAAGTGATACTTGTACAAATATTTGCCCCCTCCCCCCTGTCAAAAAAAGTTTACTACGGCCTTGATCATATAAATCAATTAAAGCATTGATTGAAAATAGAGAGACTCACAATGTGCAGCCGCTACGTCTCCAGACTGAGCCACGCGTTTTCGCTGTCTCGTGCTGCATATCATGCTTCACTTCGTATAGCTGTAGCTATATTAAGTAACATGTTTACCTGTACATATACCTGAACCGACTCAATCCGGATCAGCGCATAAGGTTGCATTTGATAACGCCTTCACGGAAATCGAGCGTCCTTGAATAACCCGTAACCATATTTTCGGAGTTGAACGACAACAACAAACGAGAGTGCAATCAGGGCCAGATAGCGATAACGTCATGCCCTTATCATGACTATGAAAAAACCTTACGTGACATTTGTGACTTATTTGGTGTACCTCGCGATTGTGTGGACTTCAGCGACGGCTTAGCGGCGCGATAGGGGGAGTAGCAGGTGGGGAGGGAGAGGAGGTGGTGGTGGAGGGAACGGAGGAGGGTGAACACGGAATAAACTCTGAAGGTTCCGTGACGGATACGGAATGAAGGCTTGGCGCGTATATAAAAGTCACGTGTTTTATGAGACTCTATCGGGTATATAAATGACACGAATATAAACCATTACCATAAGGCTCCCGAGAGCAAGGTAAGACAACACGTTATGTGCAGCTCGCGGTTTGTATTCATAGCCGGATATGCCATTCATTTCATTTTGTGAACAACCATTTAAATGTTTTAGGTCAATCATTTATTAATTATTACATTAGCATCAGTAGTTTTAACTATTGTGAGGCAGAAGGCACTGTTGTTTTTTGTCATAGTGTTTTTTATAACAAACTGTTAAAGGCATCTTAATCTTATTATTGACTTATCGTTGCACTCAGTGACAATTCATCACGTAAATTTAACATCTCAAAAATTGTTTTAAGTGAACCGCTTTTAGTTCACCCACATGTAAACTGACGGGCAATAGAAAGTATACACCCATGTTTGATGGTGGCTAAAAATGAAACGAACAAGAAATGGTTATTCCATGGTGATGTATTTGATGCGGGTATCATAGTTGTGTTTTGGGCCTTACGTTTGCAGTATTATGGCACTGGCTTCAACTTAGTAATGTTTTGATGTTCGTAATTTCTTCGTCAAATTCAATTTCCAAGTGTAAACATTGTTTTGCCCGACAGTTTCGGCTGACGACAGTAATGAAGTCAAGACGCAGATTAGTGTTGGTAATGGGACATAGGTATAATGTATTTTTCTCAAGATCACGTGATCAGATGGCAACATTCTGGCACGTAGGTAAAATAATGAGATTTGCGTAGTTGTGATACTGGTCTCTAGTTATTACCATTTTGTAAATGTTCCACTTCCAAGAATTTATGATTTGGGAGAAAATGGATGTTAAATTATAATTAATCGTGAGAACGAATGGCGAGTAGGATTAAAGAATGTGTATCTTAAGACCCGTCGCATACGCACGACCGATTTGTTGAGTCGCTGGGATGCCCCGTCCAGCCTCCGTGTTTATGGAGTGGAGTTGGTTTGGGTTCGAACCGCGGTAACGAAAAAAACCGCCCCCCCCCCCCCAATCTGGGCGGGGTGAAACATACAATAAATTATGTATGGCGTCTTAAGGTCTGTTAAATGATATTACTGTTTATCATGTATTCTCTCAGAACTGTTTGGGTGTGAGTAGGATTCTAACTTTTAAATTAATTTATTAATATGTTTATTTATTAATGAAACCTCGCTTCTAATGGACTCCGTGACCTTTTCGTTCACGCCATCACTGTTCTAAGTAGGAAGAGACGGAAGCTGACCAAGCTTGACTCACATGACCATGTGCATCTTGACTCACCATGACTACCATGGTGTAGGCGAAAAGTTGGAATCGTGTGCTAAAACGAAACTTAATTTTAAAATTCCTTTCTTTTAAAATATAACACACATATGAGGGGATGAGGCGTTAGGAAACAAGAAATATATTTCAACAAACCTAACATTAAATATCATCATGAAAAATAAAATAAGATTTACCAGAAACGAAAATGTTGCAGGGACGACTTATTAATTTAAAAAGAATATAAACACAAAAGAGCAAAAGTGTATCTGATCACATTATTTGGCAACTATGTTCAATCATGTATCAATGTTTTATGTTATAGTTAATCATGAAGGTGTTTCTGGTCGTCACGCTCTATCTCGCCACGTGCATATCCTTCACAAGGTCAAAGTCGCTCCGCAGCAGCAAAACCGATGGAAATCTTGAAGGTAACTAACTTAATTTTTTTTCTTTATTTATATTTCATTTACCATAACAGTATAAAATCCTAGTTTCTGAATATTCCGCCAGCGGTGTCAAATGTACATAACTTGAACACATCTGTGACGTCATTCTATTGTTTAAATTCACCATTATTTTTCAGGAATTGAGTATTTTTTTCATTTATACATTATCTTGAACCAGAATTTCAATTAGGTTGCACTTGGAATTGACGGAACTATTTTTAAACTGTTTTTAATGGTGAATAATTTCAAATTTTGTCGTCAAACATCTGTAAACAATCCGTGTTGTGTAATTATTTTGTGAATTTCTTAACATATGTGCTACTGTTAAGAATTGAAGTTACAAGCACATGGCCCTACCCTGTCTCGGTTTCACCATAAGACACAACTTACAAGGTCTTCACTCAGGCTTGAAATAGATACCAGGCTGAGTAGCTTTGTGGAGGGTTGTTGCTCATAATATCAATTTGTCTGGTCTGGTCCTCGATTATCTATATCCGGAATATTGCTGAGTCTTTTGTGTGTACCACGTGGTTTCTTGGCACCAGATGACCCCCTTGAAGCTGTTTCTATATGGTTGTCACGTGTGTTTACGCTATTGCGGTAGAACCAAGTTATTCGTGATTTAGTATAAATGTTTGGGAAGGAATGTCCGGATAAATGAGGGGACACTTTGTACCATCTCAACCTGATGCATGGTAAACTAGGGTCATCATTGATACCATGTCGTCCGTATAAAAGAGGTTGCACTTTGTATCACCTCGACCTAATGCATGTGGAAACCATTTATTTCAGGCTGTCCGCATAAACGAGGTTACATTTTGTACCATCTCAACGTGATGGAGGATTATTGCTCATAATATCAATCACTGGATTGTCTGGTCCTCGATTATCTGTATCTGTAATAGTGCTGAGTGCAGCGTTAAACAACCAATAATAAATCTCTCGCTTGATGTTCTAACACAATGATCGCTTTGTTATAGGTCTTGAGGACACGATCGTACCCTTGGGGGATGAACCAGCCGACTACAGAGGTACATTGAGCTGTTCATATAATGCGAAAAACAAGTGAATATGAGAAAACACATGTCGTAATATGAAAAATATAAAGGGACAATATAATGAAATAATATGAATATTTGTTGCCATACCTAATTCAGCTACCGTATTTGATGAATTGAATTGTAGCATAGGTCCCCGGCTAGCTATAAGATGGTCAGGCTTGGTTATTCGGTTGACTGTGTGTCATCGTACCCATCGGTGTTGACCCTTGAAAATTGAAATTATTAAGATAACAGATAGATATTTCTAATTTGTTGAGAGACCGGTGAAGATCCGTGGTAGAATAGGTCTTCAGCAACCCATGCTTGCCGTAAAAGGAGACCATGCTTGTCGTAAGAGGTGACTAACGGGATCGGGTGGCCAGGCTCGCTGACGTGGTTGATGCATGTCATCGATCCTAAGTGCATGTCTGGTCAAGATTCGATTATTTACAGACCGCCGTCATATAGCTGGAATATTGCTGAGTGCGGCGGTAAACAAAAAAACAAACAAACAAAACATTTGTTGAGTTGTTTCAATAACGTTGTGGGTCGGGGGTGGTGGAAGCGTTTGGTTTGTACGGAGACTGGAAATGTTTCAGCTACACCCGCAAAACCAGAGATGTTTTTGTTTAAAAACTATGAGTCTGAATATTTTTTTTTTAAAAAAAAAACCCACCTTGCAACAATGTATTTTTAGTGCCAGGCAAGTTAATTTTTTCAACACTCTAAAGAAGCAAAATAGTTTTTGTCAAGAATTTTCGGCGGCAATTTTTTTTGCGATAAATGAGGTTGGTTTGTGTTGTACAAATACTCCTGGTTGTATACAAAACTGTGACGGATGCTGGTGTTGTGTTACAGCTAAGCGCTCGGTGATGAGGAAGCCAACAGCACTGTCGGAGATCATGGGCCCTCTCAGTCGCCGCCATGCACGAGATCTCACGGAGTTTCAGAGAAGTGACGGTAAGGGAACATTTTTATCCTTTTTCAAAGTTGACTGGTTCACGCCCGTTCCTGCGATTTTCCGGGTCTTCCCACTCAGGTCCTCTCGGCCTTTTTCAATACCTACGGAATACACTCGGGTCCACTCGGTGTATTTGGCTACCGGCATACATTCGGCATATTCCGTTACCTACATAATACACTCGGCATAATCCGCTACCTACACAATAAACTCGGCGCATTCCCGTACCTACACAATACACTCGGCACATTCCCGTACCTACACAATACCTCGGCGTAGTGATAATAAAGGAATTCGGAGACACAATGTTTGGGATCCGGAATCCACGTCGGGTCGAACTGTCCAGAAAACGACAACAACATGTAAAATATAATGGCACGTACACTATGAGGGAATTCTGCCATGGGTATCTCACTCTAATTTGTCCAGTTTTATCTGTCCCGAAGACAAATGGTCGTTTTAACATGAGAAAATCCGATGTTTGAAACCGCACGATGTTTTCCCGATCCACAAAATACTAGCTAATCAAAAGCTGCAGGTATTTCATAATTGTCTCGTTCCTGGACTGTAGACATTTGTATATTGATTGTTATTGTCCTGTCTACTGCAATAACTGTTTCAGCTATATATAGAACGCATTTGTCTGTCCCGTATAGGCGCGGGCAGACGCTGAAGAACCTTTTAAAAGTCAAGAGTGTCAATTAAAAAAGAGTGAGCGAGTAATATGTTTAGCCGATTTAGCTATGTATCAGCTCTTGGCGGCTGAATAAGAGCTGTGCTAATTCTTTTCTTAATTTGTGTTTCAAATATGCTGTATATGCTTATAACGAACTACTGTTATAACGAACTACTGTTATAACGAACTAAACTTAGTGACCCCTTTGAGTTCGTAATAACCGTAGTTTACTGTATATAGATGCACCACTGACGATGGCGATTATTATTGTATTTAAATTTGGTCATGTTTTCAGCCGTATATTTGCGCATGCGCGGTCTTCTGTCTATCCTCAAAATGCTCATTGGGAAGGAGCCCCAAATTGAGATCTTCCACTACGTCAACTGGGACAAAACCATCAACATCGACAACCTCTTCTACACCAGACCAACAAGCATCTTCCAGGTTAGTGGAAACTAGGCTCCGTCTATTCATAGCAACATCAGTTCATTTCTCAGCCTGGTTCCCTGGGTATGCTGCGCTGGCGGCATACCCAGGGAACCAGGCTGGTCATTTCTCAGGAACATACGAGTGCGCATGCTTGGGGTTAAGTAGCTTTGAGTTCTTGAAGTATGTTTAGTTTATCAAGGCGTGTCAGATTGATGTGGGAGGAAAGTCGTGCAGGACTCACTCTGAATGAGTGTGCATGGTTTTACGCCGCTGTTAGCAATATTCCAGCAGGAGTGACACTATAAATCGGCTTCACACATTGTACCCATAAGGGCAATTGAACCTGGGTCTTTGGCGTGACGAGATAATGCTTTAACCACCATCCCCTAGCTATTTGTCATTTAGAAGTAGTATAACATGGCGAAGGAATAAGAGCATACCCCGCAACGTGAAGTGCCTACCAATATTAAACAATACAGCTGACATCCTTAAACACCCGTGAAGATCCGGGGTAGAATAGGTCTTCAGCAACCCATGCTTGTCGTAAAAGGTGACTATGCTTGTCGTAAAAGGTGACTATGCTTGTCGTAAAAGGCGACTAACGGGATCGGGTGGTCAGGCTCGCTGACTTGGTTGATGCATGTCATCGTATCCCAATTGCGTGGATCGATGCTCATGATGTCAGTCAATGGACCATCTAGTCCAGAGTCGATTGGTTACAGACCGCCATCATATTTTGCTTAGTGTGGCATTAAACAACAAATAAATAAATAAACAAACAAATTAATAAACGACAACAATAAAACGCTGTTGATATGTTTTACATAACAATAAAAAAATGCCAGAGCGGACAACTCGCACTCTCGCTCTATTTAAACAGTTATTAACAAAGACAGGTAGCGTTCATCTTCCCGAGGCAAGGGAATTAACTTGAAACAGGACTTTTAAAGTCAGTTAACTCCCTTCCCTCGGGGAGATGGGAGACGTTGTGATAAACAGTTTCTGTCCTCCAGGTCCGACGCATCATCCGGGCGGCGAGGCATCTGGGCATGCGCGTCAGGGCGACGGGTGCCGGACATAGCCGATCTCCGCTGTATGTTGACGAAGGCAATGTCATGATGGATGTCCGAGATCTCGAGCGACACGACGGACCCCGGATGCAGATTAACCCCAAGGTGTGTTGTCCAGTGGTCGCAGTGCGACACTTGGCCGCAAAGGTTATTTCGTCTTGGAAAAACACGGACTGGATTTCCTGGAAAACCGGAAATTGGGGATTCCCCTGTTAGTCACGTGGAACATGCCACATTATTTTTTTTATAGAAGTAGGTCACAAGAAACATGTTTGACATTGACATCTGGTTCAAGGCAATGTTTCTTTGTTTGTTGTTTAACTCTGCCTTATTTCAGTTTCGGATTAACTAATTTGGTCTGATGTTATATGTTAGGTGAGGTGAAACTTTGCCACTTATATAACGACGTGTATGCACGTGTGTGTGTGTGTGTGTGTGTGTGTGTGTGTGTGTCTGTGTCTGTGTGTGTGTCCATGTTTTAGTCAGGAATAATGCTGGTTTTAAAGTGTTAACACACTAAGATACCATGCCGCATTTTTATATGAATAAACCCCTGCTCATACACAGTATATTGACCTCAAGCCTGGGGATCACCTTTGATTCAACAATGGCCATGGACACTTATATTTCACTAACCAGCAGAGCATGCTACCATAGCATCTATAACATCAGTCAAGTCCGCCATCTACTTGATACTCCAACAGTTAAATTGTTGATGCAATGTCTTGTGACCTCCAAACTGGATTACTGCAATGCATTGTATGCTAATCTTCCCATGAAAGCCATATCAAAGCTACAACGCATTCAGAACTCTGCGGCTAGATGCATCTCTAAAGTTCCAAGATCCAATCACATCAGTCCTGTCCTTAAAGCACTACATTGGCTTCCAATCTGAGAAACTCTGCTTCTAAGGAAACGTTTAAGTCTCTCCTCAAAACCCACTTCTTCACCTCAGCTTTTCAATAGATCTCCTGATTGTTGGCATATGTACATAGACATTACTTTTTAACTTTGTCACAGCGCCAGTGAGCAACTGTCGATGGATATTAGGCGCTTTACAAATCAATTATTATTATTATTACTAAACCGACCACTCCTTGTTTTAGCTCCGTAATGCCGAACGCCAGGCAGGGTAACAACAAGGACCATCTTTTCAAGTCTTTTGGTACGACGCGGCCAGACGCTCTGTCTACTACACTGCGGATTGATTCTTAATGCGATTTTTATACATATTGACAGTCCTCGTTAACTATTCCAAAAAGGGAGGGTTCCAGAATAACAGGGTTTCACTGTACACATCTGATATATTTCTGTTACAGAACAGCGTCCGAAACTACAAGACGTTGACAGCGATGACAGGCGTGTACGAATACGATCTTAATGAGTTCATGGTTCGCAATGACGTCACAATGCTGTCACAGCCACTCAACGTGAACGAAACAATGGGCGGGATGGTTGCCGCCGCTACACACGTGAGTTGTTGGATTGTTTTGAAAAAATAATAAAAATTTGATTTAAAAAATCTGAATTGTTTTATCAATTATGTTTTACAGAAAACAAAAACTGTTCACAGCATAAGCTGGATGCATGTCCTAAAAAGTGTCACGTTTGTTTTGTGTTTGAACTTTAATTTGGTCAGCTTAACAGGCTCCCCCCATCCCTGGATCCCAGGAAATAAAATTTAAACAGACACGTAGTTGTGTTTGTGTTGAAATATTGAAAACAAGCAGAAAACAGATAGCCTGGTCTATTATTATTTCAGAAGCATTATCAAGTATCATCGTATGACTTTTATCAGACTCAGTGATATTTTGCACACAGCGATAATAATCTAAAATAAAATTTCTTATTGGCGTTGCTATGGAAACTTTGAGTTAACAGAGTTGGTTAAAAATGTAAATCCTATCATAATGGAACACGCTATATATTTTAGTATGTCATAATGGATTGAATTGTCGGTTGTGTATAACCACGCCCTTCCTCGCCCCAGGGGTCTACGTGGAGCGCCCCCACCTACAGTGGGTACGTCAGGGAACTCCGACTAATGGACTCTAGTGGCAGACTCCGGAAGTTTACGATCGAGAGGCACCCGGAGCTGATGAAGGCTATCATTTGTAACCTGGGGATGTTTGGCATCATGTACGACATCACCATACAGGTAGGACATAGTGAGTGAGTGAGTGAGTGTGGTTTTAAGCCACTTTTAGCAATATTCCAGCAATATCACAACGGGGGGCACCAGAAATTGGCCTCACACATTGTACCCATGACGGGAATCGAACCCGGGTCTTCAGCGTGACAAGCGAACGCTTTGACCACGAGGCTACTCCACCGCCCCCAGATAATATATAACAGCTGGCACTTACAGCGAAACCTCGATTCGAAAACCCCACAATCTGGACGATTGGTGTTTGGAACGTTTAAAAACAAATATAGGGACATTATTAGAAACTCTTTGTTTACACAGCGAGTCGGTGAATGTGTGCACGCCACAGTCAGCGATATTACAATTATATGACGGCGATTTATTAAAGTGTTTCGAGGGGGGCAGGGGTGGCCCAGTCGTCTTAGGCGCCGCGATTCGCTGTGCAGAGTTGCGTCCCTTGGGCGCGCCAGAAACCTATGATTGTGGGTTCTAATCCCGGTTCGACCCGATTATGTTTCTAGGTTTGTCAGCACCATACCCGTGCTCGTAGGTCTCACCGAAGTGGTAAACGTCTGAGACCTGCATCGCTTCGGGCTTTCCTCCCACATTAAGCTGACACGCCGTGATATAACTGGAATACTGTAAAAAGCGGCGTTAAACCCAACTCACTCACTCACTAGAGTGTTTCGAGTTTGGACGAGACAAACCAGTGGTTGCAGAGCTCCAGATATCTGTTTGAGCAATTTAGATTTTACTCAACGGTTTCTATTTTAATTTGGTTATTACATATTTCATCGGGTAACCAATATTTTGTCACTCACCTATTCAACACTCTATTGGGTTTTTCCCCAAATGTGTAAACATTTTGAGATTTAAAAAAAGAAAGAAATGTTTTCAACGTATATATAGTCTTGACTCGGAAAGTAAATTAGCTCTTAATTGTGTTTCGGAAATTAGCTCCGTTACATGCATGCTGAAAAAGCTTCATTGGGTATTTACGCGTGCTCTTTTCATACATTTGAGTTTTTCATTAAGGCATGCGTTTCTGTACGCAAGTTAATTGAAAGTAATTGAGTTTTGAAAAATAATTTGGGGTATTTTATGCAAATACGCAGCTTATCTGTAGCTCTGGGTTGATAGCGTGAGCAACTATGAGTGTTGGGGTACGATCACACAATCACCTAGGCAACATGCTGCGAGCAATCAGTCCTCAGTACAGTCATAAAACTTGACACGTTTCTTATTTGCCCAGGTATACCCTACCCTGATAGCAAAGGTACACAACCAGTTCGTGCCGCTCGGCTCCCTCATCTACAACAACACAGCCCTGCGCGACACCGTCACCGGCAACTTTCTGACGGAGATCTCGTGGTTCCCCTTCAACTCCGTCACGGACGCTGAGGCGGAGGACTACAAGAGGGACGGCACAATACCAGCAGCATGGAACGCCAAGCGCGACTCCATCTGGCTCAGGTACTGCTCATATATTACAGTGATGGACAGAGACGAGTGAGTGAGTGAGTGAGTGAGTGAGTGAGTGAAGGGACATTCAACGTCCCTTTTAACAATATTTCAGTTATATCAATATTCAGGCAACACCAAGATGATTGGTGATTGGCGATAGATGATGATGATAATGATTGATGACTGATGATTGGCGATTGATGGTGATGATGATTATGATGATAAAGGTTTGGTAACTGGCAATAGATGATGATTGATGATTGATGATTGGAGGTTGATGATGATGATGATGATGATAAAGGTTTGGTGATTGGCGATAGATGATGGTGATGATTGATGATTGATGATTGACGGTTGATGATGATGATGGCGATTAGAGATTGATGATCTTGATTGATGATTGGATGATTGGCGATTTATGATGATTATTGATGATAGGCGATTGATGATGATGATGATGATGATGATGATGTTCTTACAGATCCATCAACATCATCAGCGAGGCTGAACTTGGAGGAAGACCCCTTGAGCCCACCCACTTCCTCCCCACTAACGGTTCTCTGTCTGGAGGCAAGGAGAAGGGTCTTCTCCGTGGAAGGGTAAGTTCAACAGACAGTTGCCATGGAGAAATCATCACGAAATAGTGCACACAATTACGTTGATAAACATCCAAACACCAGAAAAGGGCTCACACGTTGACCAAGGTGGGGTATCGTCCCGGATCAGTTCACATTACACGTTACTATTGACACAGAGTATAAACACCATGGTATTGGTTAAATTAATCTTATCATTTTTCCGTGAGAGGAATTGAGTAATTATAGGTCTGGAAGTGTTCTAGCTTTGTGTCCAAACTAGTCTGAAAAATACTTTGTTTCTCTCCACCTTTGATTGTCCAGTATTTAATGTCTTCGTTCTATAAGGGCTACTTACTTATTTATTTCCGTAGTTATTTACTTTTGCTGTTTTTCAAATGTTTGCATTCTGATTTCGGTTGTTTTCTATTCCGAAGATGAACTTTTGGATGAACCCCGTCCCAACTACAAGCATGAGTCTCTTCCAACCCAAACATTGGTGTGAAACACACGAAACTGTATTTGGCCTTGTGTTCAAAGCTAAAACGGTCGTTTCAATGTTGAATCATCTTACTTTTAGGGCGCTGTGAGCGTTGCCAAACGTGTCCCCATCGTCAGCTACCACCATCTTGTCAACGCATTTCCCGTGATCCTCCCGCCAAGATGGGGCACGGAGACCAGTGCCGCCTTCATGCTCAACATAGATAACCAGTTCATCAGGGCGGCAGAGGCATTGCAGGTAAGATATCTCCAATATAGTTTCGCCTGCCCGAGAAGACCTCTAGTCGTAAGAGCCTAAAACGGATCTTCTGAGCAGTCTGGTATTCTGCGATTGGCTGATTGCGCCCCAGTGACGTGGGTCGTTGGTCATTCCTTCAGTGACTGGTGTACTTGGTCCAGACTCGATCAGATGGCGCACTCGCTCTCCCCTGAATCCCGAATACCATCGAATTTTTCACTCTGAAACTCATTGTTCATCTCTGAATCCCGAATATTACTTAACACACATCTTATACATTGAGAAAAGGGTGCGGTTTGCAAGGGAGTTAACTGACTATATAAGTCCATTTTTCACATGTAAACAGGACTTATATAGTCAGTTAGTTCATTTCCCTTGCCTCGGGAAGATGGAAGTCGGATTACTCCACAAATATCGAAAAAATAAAATATTATAAGGTGGTGTGTGTGGCTGCTTGTACTAGTCCGGACTGATGCCGATTTATAGTGCTAGCTCACTGAGATACCATGCCGCAGTTTAACATGAATACCCCACTCAGACACAGTATACTGACTCCGAGCCGACCAGTCCTTGTTTTAGCCCCGTAATGCCGAGCGCCAGACAGGGTAACAACAAGTACCATCTTTTAGCGTCTTTTGGTATGACGCGGCCGGGGATCGAACCCCGGACCTTCCCCTCTCCGGGCGGACGCTCCACCACTGGACCACGGAGGTGGTCAAATATTATAAGGAAAACCTTTACGTACACCATAATGTTTTTGAAAATGTTGACTCTGCGTACCAATACGGTATTATGTGCGTCCCGCGTATCACACTCCCAATAGACCCCCGAATCCCGCGTTGGCAGCCTCCGATTTGTTACGGGTGGAATATTGCCGAGGTCGGGGCTCACTCACTCACATAGACGATCCATCGGACGGAGTTAATATAGTATATGCAGTGACAGATGAATGCTTTCTTTCTACATTGTACTAACACCTGACCTTAATAGTCACAATTATTATGTGTTTAGTACCACGTTCCAGTGAAATCAACGTTATCCTAAACAAACCACATGAAGCGTCATAAAATCTTCTTCGCTGCCTCTGCTATACTGTATGGCATTTCAGAGATGCATGAAAGGAGGGCATATGAGTCAGCTAGATGAGGGGGCTGAGGGGATATATACATGTTGGGAGGGACTCTGTGCCGGTTAGATAAGGTTGTGCATGATGCGATTCATGACAGACCAAACAGAAGTGCGCAAGTCTTGGTTCAAAAGTCCAAGTCATCAAATTACTGGCTAAAAAATAATAACTGGAATATAGGAATATCTCCATGTGCATATGTAGACGTCCGTCGATTCCGGATTGCAGGGTGTCCGGTATATCGGGGTTCGGACTTAAAGGGTTTCTCTTTGTATATTTTAAATTCTTTTCCCGAAGTCTTACACTTGCATAAGCGTATGTGATATAGTCCGGAGCAGACACGTCAGTGATTGATATTATAAGCACGGTACGCGTGGTACGGAGTAATTAACCGAGCCTCATCACCCGGTGAAGGGGTGGTGGCCTAGTGGTTAAAGCGTTCGCTCGTCACGCCGAAGATCCGGGTTCGACTCACCACATGGGTACAATGTGTGAAGCCCATTTCTGGCTTCCCCCGCCATGATATTGCTGGAATATTGCTTAAAGGGGCGTAAAACCATACTCACTCACTCACTCACTTAACACCTGATACAGTTTAGATAATTACACAGAGCTGCAGACCTAACTCAGGTTCTCATGAATAAAGAAAAGTATGGGTTAAAATAGTTTCCATGCGTTTTTCAGTTCATCGTCGAGGAGGCAGAGAATCAGATCAAGGCTAACGGCTCCACCCCACTGAACGCCCTCCTTCCCCGCTTCTTCGAGAACTCGGACTGCGACCTTTGCCCCGGCAACCACGACATCACCCAGGCCGACGACAGTGGCCGCACCCTCGTCATCGACTTCCTTGCCCCCCCTGCGCAGTATGGCTTTTACCCCACCGCCAGGAAGGTATGTACATGCTCCAAAGCATCGACTTCCGTTGTTGTGACAGCCTCGTTCTCAAATCCTATACCTAGACTGGTCCTCTGCCTCTTTTTAGCACGCTACACTTTGTGTAGCTAGCTGAGGCGACACATTCAAGCATAGGACCAGTCTACTTGTATAGAATGGAATTATTACTAGTCACTGCAAGTGTCGATATCTTCCTGACCATTTGTACTTTTATACATTTTATACATTCACTCGCCAATTTCCGTAACAATTTCCGAGCTGCATTCGTGACCACCTCGTGTAATTCCGTTACAAACTGTCGTTACGGAACGATGCGAGCCGTCACGAATGGGCAAGCTGCAAGTTTACGGAAAGGGACGGATGGTGACGAATGGGCGGGAGATGTCCCGAAATGGCACGAGTGCTACCGTGAGTTTTTCTGCGCTGTGGCAAAAGCTGATCTTCCTATCATTTTTCTTCCAGTTTGTCGACCATTTCCGCAACCAGAAGGTCAGACCCCATTGGGGTAAACGCCACGACAACATACCCGGGATCATTGACCACATCAAACTCGTCTACGGTGATAACCTGGACCACTTCCAAAAGATGCGGAAACTGGCCGATGTGGACCCATGTGATATGTTCATGAACTCATATCTCCTTGAGATCTTCGGAAGGAGCGGCACCTGGTGTGCTTAACTCGACGCTCAGTACGCATGCGCCACTCCATCGCATCCTGTTGACTGAAAGGAAGCTAGTGTCAGATAAAAACGCGAATGTTGACAGGAATTGAAGGCACACGCTTCGAGACAATTATGTTGTTTTCCCTGATTACTGTTAATCAAAATTTACCCTAAGAGACTTCACGTGGGTTCACGTGACGTGACGTGACGTGACGTTACGCCCAATCAACGTGAACTGACGAACACCAGCTGTTTTTGTCAACTGATCACGAAGTCAAAGTTTAGTTTGGGATATTCGAAACAACGGAGGAACAGGTGTTTACTTCGAGTTAAACATCATATTCGGGTTAACCGGAGACCAGGGAACAATGTGTTTCCTTCCCAAATATGAGAGATTCTGTTGAAATAATCTTTTCTTATTTTTCTCAGGTAGTTTGTGATATGCGCTTTTAATGTTTATCTTTTCAAGCGAAGTGTTTGCTTTTATTTAGTCCCAAACTATTGGTGTGAGTTAGTATGATTTTACGCCGCTTTTAGCAATATTTTTCAGCGATATCATGGCGAGGATGGGTTTCACACATTATTCCTATGTGGGGAACGAACCCGGGACATCGGCGTGAAAGCAAACGCTTTAACCGCTAAGCTACTGCCGTCCCCCTTACCCCAAAACAATTGGAGGAGACGAATAATAATGTGTAATGTATGTACTCGACTGTAAAGAAACGGATAGAACGATCAGATTCAGTAGTTCATACAGCACTATCAAGGAATGGACCTTAACGCTATACATCGAGAAGGACCGGCTCGCGAAACCTTGAGATTGAGTTAGCTCCCTTTGGTCTGTCAACCCGATGATGGAAACCCAACATCGATTTTCTTATAACACTGTGGTGCATGATAGACTGACAGAAGAATTATCGAGTGATATTTTCATGATATATTTTTCTTTTGTTAACCGACAACGTTATAATAAAAGCGATGAAGAGGACGTTTTTGAATGTTACACAATTATTCCATTTATTTTAATCTTCATGAAGACTTACCTTAACCTTTTCTTCAAATTCTCTCCGATCTTCCCAACTTTGCATCGACAAGGTCTCAGATCCGTAAGATATTAAACAATTAAAAGTTGTTCTGGCGCATATGGTACTTCATGGACATTGTTGAAAGTATCACTCATAATTGCATCGATATCCGCGTCATAGTTTTTACTGAGTTTTGTTTGACAGTGTATATTTTCCTGCTGAGTCAAAACGTTGTCATATGGTATACGTGTTTTCTTTTTTATATATTTCCATTAGAATTCATCGACATGACATATTATGCCAGTTTGTGATGTATGTCCATATCATGTATGTAGATATTAACAGACTTGTATATAAAATTGTTACACATTATATTCCACTATTTATTTTGTGTAATTGACTTCTAAAAGTCTTTTCACAACCGCCAAGAACAACACGCACTTATTTCTGCGACGCCCAACTGCCTGCAGTGTTCATTCTTTGGTCGCGTTTTTTCAGGTGCTGCAATTTCGTTGCATAGTTACGTCCCTTTAGGTACGAGGATCCGCTGATCATTATATTCATTATTATATTATGTTCATTCATAATAATGATAATGCGATCAGTGTGCACTGAGTTTCATTCTCAGCTCCCTGGGAAGTATACAACTCAAGCTGCCTCGTGAGGCGCTAGAAGGTTAACAGTCACATTACCATTTCATCCTACCGGGTACCCATTCACTGCTGGGTGAACCGAGGCATATGTAGCTTAATGTGACACCACGTGTATTACAAGGGGCAGGACCGTGGCCAAGGAAACTCTAACCCATCCAACTACTCTCCGCCACCGACGTTGCTCAACTGCACCTGATTCATGACACGTGAGCTGTGAACAGGTCACGTGCCACAGTTATGTTTCTTAGCTGACATGCGGTTATGCAACTCTAATAGTTTTGAAATCAGCGTTAATTCTTACTTTAGGGTTCCATTTCAAGATGTTTACCATGCCTATCGAGACAGGGCTGTCGATGACATCCGATGACGTCAACGTCGCATCCGTAACGAGATTTCACAGTACCAAAACCACACACACACACACACACACAGACACACACACACACAGATGCACACATGCACGGACGCACGCAGGCACACACACACACACACACACACACACACACACACACACACACATACACACACACTAGGTGGAGTGAAGTTAACGCCCTCATCACCACAGAGTGGTATAAGGGTAACGCTATTTTTCAGGGCATTATCATTTGCAGAAGCCCGAGGTCTTCCATTAACTGCCCGACGAAGGAGGGCAGTTGAAAAGACCGAGGGCTTCAGCAAATGATAATGCCCTGAAAAATAGCGTTACCGTTATTATAGCTAAAATGGATGGAATTTGTTATCAAATAAATAGAAACAATGTCGATTTTGAAACATTTACTGCAATCAACACGAATGTCACTGACCCACTTTTACAAATATGGAAACGTCATAGAACAAACCAGATGACGTCACTATTGAACGTTACGTCACCTATCCCTATCCTATGACGTCACCTAACAACGGGCGTGATAATGGCCCGTCGTCAAATAATATGAGGGCATTATCAAGTTACAGTGGCCCGCTCATTTCTGATAACATGCGGGCGTTTTTATGATAATTCTATCCATTTTAGCTATAATAGACATCAAACACGACAGGGTCATACGAATACATTTGACTTACTAGGATATTCAAGTTCCGTTATGTTAACTATTAAAGGTAAAGAAATGCATACTAAATAAAACTCTTAAAAAATGGTCAAACAAGGTAAGGGGGCACGGGTGGCCCAGTCGTCTAAGGCGCCTCGATTCGCTGTGCAGAGTTGCGTCCCTTGGGCGCGCCAGAAACCTATGATTGTTGGTTCGAATCCCGGTTTTCCCCGATTATTTTTCTAGGTATGTCAGCACCATACCCGTGCTCGTGGGTTTCACCGAAGTTGTAAACGTCTGAGACCTGCATCACTTCGGGCTTTCCTCCCACATTAAGCTGTCACGCCGTGATATAACTGTAATACTGTTAAAAGCGGCGTCAGTCCCATCTCACTCACTCAAACAAGGCAAAGGTTTAAAAAGAATCTACGCAGTAGTTTTCAAGTTATAGTGACATCACAAAAATGTCCCCTGGAGAACGGACGAAAAACTATAATTTTACATTTTCTTCGAATTGGGAAGTCAATATATGTATGGCATGTGCAGCAACTGCGGTTTTGTTTACAGGCCGTCGTCGCGTGGCAGGAGTACGGCTGTGCGGCATCAGGCAACAAGGTGAGGTGAGGTGAGGTGAGGTGAGGTGAAATGGGGTTTAACGTCGCTTCCAAGATTTGCACTTATACAGCGGCGTGCATGCACGGATGTGTGTGGCTACTTGTACTAGTCCGGACTGATGCCGATTTATACTGCTAGCCCACTGAGATACCATGCCGCAGTTTAACATGAATACCCAACTCAGACACAGTATACTGACTCCGATCCGACCAGTCCTTGTTGTAGCCACTTATGCCGAGCGCAAGACAGGTAACAACAAGTAGCATATTTTAACGTCTTTTGGAATGACGCGGCCGGGGATCGAACCCCGGACCTTCCGCTCTCCGGGCGGACGCTCTACCAATAGACTACGGAGGCGGTCTATCAGGCATCAAAGAAACATTAACTTTTTCATGCAAATTGTGCGAGTGGCCGCTACTAATACGGCAGGGTATGTTTACCCTCACTGATTTTCAGGGATCCATTTATATTTTCACCGCTATTTTACCTTAAACGTCCTATGAAATCTGTTTCGGCGAATAATCGACACTGGTTATTTTCTTGAATTCACCATATATTTATAAACCAGTAATCGACCGACTAGCTTATATAATCTACTGAAACCACACGACCAGACTAAAACTGTGTTACTTTAGCTCGGTCAGATACCATAGAAAATCCAGTCATTCCATGACCAAGACATCGAACCAGGTATTCTATATTCGTTGACTTGCTGGTATGATTTTACAGTGGGGAAACACTGCGCATGCCTCAGCATCCGTCCACTGCTTATATAAAATTTTATTGATACTGTTTCCTTGTCATTACTACTTATATATACACACACCGCACCCGGGTACAGCTATGGAAAACTGTTTCAGCTGATGGTCGACACCTACTTGTACGAAAACCTCAAGGCAAGAACTTTCTCGTGACAATTCCTTAATGATGAGTGAGTGAATGTTGTCTGACGCCGCAGTCAGCAATATTCCAGCTCTGTCCTGGCGGCCTGTTTTTAACAAGTTCGCTACTGGCTGAAAGCGATCAACGATCCCAACCGTCGGGACATGACAGAGTGAGTATAGACTAACATTACAAGATAAACATGAGTACAGCCTCGAGTCATACCGCCATTCTGTTTTATTCAGTGTTTAGTGTTATATTCAGTATATCCTAAATATTATTACAATTCCACATTTTAAATATTCAAAAAAATTCGCGGGGGGGGGGGGGGGGGGGGGGCACGGGTGGCCCAGTCGTCCGAGGCGCCACGATTCGCTGTTGCGTCCCTTGGGCACGCCAGAAACCTATGATTTTAGGTTCAAATCCCGGTTTATGTTTCTAGGTTTGTCAGGAACATACTCGTGCTCAAGGGTTTCACCGAAGTGGTAAATGTGTGAGACCTGCATCACTTCGGGCTTTCCTCCCACATTAAGCTGACACGCCGTGCTATAACTGGAATACTGTTAAAAGCGGCGTTAAACCCAACGCACTCACTCACTCACTCTGGTTTAGGCTCAATAATATTAAGAACTAATCAGTTTATAAGTGCAAGGGTAATAACCAGTCAATGCAATGCACATCGATGGGACTTACTAATGGGGTGAGGTGTAGTAGGGGCATCCCCACGGGTACATTGACTGGCTGGTTCAATGTACTGACAACGTGTCAGCAGCTTGGTCGATGACGTATGTGTACAGAGCATCAAATGGCTGACACTGAGCTGAAATAATGAAGGGAGTCTACTTTGATGAACTTTAAAATAAGATGCGCTACATGGCAGACAGTTTAACGACGTTGTCAGCAACATATTGTCCTGCTATGACCATGCTAAGTTAACATGTACTTCAATGTCGAGTGAAAATAGTTTGTTAAATATTTACCACAGATGTAGTCAATCCTGTAATTGCGACTTCCTTGACGCTGTGTGTGAGTGAATGACTTAACATTTAAAAAGTCCTTTGCTTGTATTCCATTCCCTAATTTGATTGCAAATTATATCATATATTTGGCTAAAAGCTTCTGAACATGGAGGGGGCACGGGTGGCCCAGTCGTCTAAGGCGCCGCGATTCGCTGTGCAGATTTGCGTCCCTTAGGCACGCCAGAAACCTATGATTGTGGGTTCGAATCCCGGTTCGCCCCGATTATGTTTCTAGGTTTGTCAGCACCATACCCGTGCTCGTGGGTTTCACCGAAGTGGTAAACGTCTGAGACCTGCGTCACTTCGGGCTTTCCCCCCACATTAAGCTGACACGCCGTGCTATAACTGGAATACTGTTAAAAGCGGCGTTAAACCAAACTCACTCACTCACTCTGAACATGGCTTGGCAGCGAAATAGTTTTGTTAAGGAGCAGATACAAAACTGATAAAGAAAGGAAAACGACACAAAACGAAGTTCATGCTTTTCGTGTTCAAACAAAGCGTTTCCATGACGGAATCTCAACCCTCAAGACATCGCGACTTTGGTACGAGTCAAATACCCGAGGAGCATTGCGCCGTTAGTGGAGCGGAAATGGAGGGCGGCACGACGAAAACTGAATACTTGTCGACAAAACCCACGTCGCGAGACGAAGAAAAGGAGTTAGAAGCGTCAATAAAAGATTTGGGGAAAGACTTGAAGTTGTCGAAATTGGAGAGGAAGAAATAAGATCTCAAAGAAGAGATAGCAGAGATGGGAGAGACGTCGCTATCGAGTAGAACGCGTAGACCTTGTGTTTGTATGTTGGTTTATTTGTTGTTTAACGCCGCACTCAGCAATATTCCAGCTATATGACGGCGGTCTGTAAATAATCGAGTCTGGACCAGACAATTTAGTGATTGACACCATGAGCATCGATCCATGCATCAACCAAGTCAGCGAGCCTGACCACCCGATCCCGTTAGTCGCCTTTTACGACAAGCATAGTCTACTTTTACGGCAAGCATGGGTTCCTGAAGACCTCTTCTACCCCTGATCGTCACAGGTCGAGTAGACTTAGTGAGAGTTGCAGTCGGTCGAGGATCGAAACGAGCGGTTCGGTCAATGATACAAAGGTACAAATTGCAAAAGGCAAATCAAATTGTTGATAATATTTGGACGAACCCCACAGACATTT